GTAAACAACTCTCTTTGCCAGCGTCGAGTAGCCATCGAACACTCATTGATAATTTACTGTATTCTGAACTACCTTTCCTATGGAAAAATAGAAGCAGAAGGGATAATCGAAGATTCGACTGAAAAGTTTCTGTAGAAAAATAATAAATGCTATCATGATTGCAGGACGATTTCGAGATCGTACACAATCCTATTGGAATCATGTGTCACGTTGGTGTTCATCGCCTCGTTGTTCCGAGACGCGAAGAACCGAAAATTAACGTATCGTGCATGGATGCCATACGACTATTCGTCCCTGATTCTATACAGTGTCACTTTCTGTCATCAAGTTGTCAGTGTGGTAATGTGCTCGCTCGTTACCATTGGTTACGATACTCTGTTCAGTGGCTTGCTGTTCTGTATTAACTGTCAGTTGGACATTCTCGGGCATCGTTTGCAAAATCTGTCGAAAGATGAGAAGGATTCGGCGAAAAAATGCGCTCGTTACCATAACCGTATATACGAGTGGGTTTTTTTCAGTATATTAATAACGTTACTGTAATATTCTATCCATAGACCTAAAAAGAAATAAATATGCAGAATAATTTCTATAAAATATACATACAGGGTGTATAAAAAAAATGAGTATTACCATCTGATGATTACCTTGATCGTAATATACGAGTCAAATTTAGAGGTCATTTCAAAATCACCTCAAGGTCAATTGGATTTTTTAAATGGGAACCATCAGATGCTTCTTTTTAAACCCTAAAACCTTTATATGTATAGAACACTTCTCGATAAAATCTCATTTTTCCGAGTTAATCTGGGGTACTCATGTTTTTAGTACATCTTGTATGTCCTGTAACATATTAGGTCTACCGGAAAGGTCTGTTCGTTTTTGAATTAAAAAAAAGTAACATATTTTCAATACGTTTATTAATATTTACTGAACAATATAATGTGATGGTAATTTGTGGACTCTATAATAAATGTATTGAAAATGTATTATCTACTCTTAATTCAAAAACGGACAAAACTTTCCAGTAGACCTAATACAATTTCTTGGGAATTGATCGTAGATTTGCCGCGAATGTGAACAAAGGGTTCCAGACAGTGGTGTGCGTTCAGTTCCTAACGAGTTCGGTGATCATCTGCTTCAATCTGTACCGAATCACGCAGAAAGATCTACAATCGACGTTCTTCGAGACAGTGTTGTACTCATTTTGCATATTGATGCAGATATTTTATTACTGTTGGTACGGGAACGAAGTGAAACGGAAGGTTCATTCTCACAACAAGAAAATTCCATTCTTCCGTACGTTTGCCGTCTCACGTTGACTACTGTTTTAGAGTCTGGAGATTCCAAAGGTGATCATTGAAAGCAATTGGTCGGCTTTGGATGACAACGGTAAGAAGATTCTCCTAATGGTGATGCGACGAGCTATGTTTCCAATCGAATTTACAAGCATACACGTTCTCTCAGTGAATCTAGAATCCTTCATGACAGTCAGTATGACGACAAACAATTACTGAACAACCAATTCAAAGTTGTGAATGATATTTAAATATTTTTTTGTTATAGTTACTCAAGGGTTCGTATTCGGTGTACAACTTGCTTCAGCAAAGGGAATCGTCGAAGTTTTCGTAACGCGAAGCTATAATGTACACCTCGTGGCACAAAATGTGTAGAACAGAAAGCGTTATGAGCACTTGAGAAGAATACTTCTGTATGTAGGATACAATGATCGGTATGAGTTGCTACGTATTCGAGTTGGAAATCGCTAGTGTCGTGTAGTGACATACAGTAAATACTCGATGACTGTCCAAAGGTTCCTCGGCACTGAACATTAAATATTTCATACAGAAACATAATACCATAAACCTCACGAAAAAGCCAGCGTTACACCTGGGGACGTTTCCTTGTCAGTGCAGAGGAATTTTCGAACACTCATCGAGGATTTAGTGTATATGTACGATGTGAGCGGAGAAACGAAGGAATGACATCTCATAATATTTAAACAGATATTTTTGTTTTCCCATGAAGTCCGCTCGCATCGTTAACTACTTTTACTTTTTTCGGAAATGGTACAGATATATACTAAAGACATCTTACTGGGCATTTAGCATGCTCCAATAAAGAGAGAAACATTAGAAGAAAATTATAACTGCTTCTCGTTATAAGGTAAAAATTAGGGCGAACCTTCCTACTTTTAGATAATCGATAGTTTAAGCAAGGCACGATTGGCGATACCAAAGGCGGAATGTGTTGGTGTGTGAATAGTTTGATTTTGGTGCTAAACAATATCGTAACTTGCCTGTGACGTAGTGTATTCTACTGTCTACTACCGTACACGAAATAAAATAGTCGATGAACACAGACACTAACTGATATCTTCATAACTCTCCATTATATTACGTCCCTTTACTTTCCAAGGAATTCATCGTTAGCTTTGCTTTCACTTGTAAGATTCGCTTTCGTATAAAATGGAGATGAAAAACCACGGGAAAGACGGAAGTAAGACGAAATTTTGATCAGACTGCGTAAGTATTTATGAACAAATAATCGCACGAATTGTCTAGTCGTATTACCGGTAATTACCGTAATTATATAGCTGGTACGGGACTGGAAATAGCTAGAGAAGAAAAATAACTTCTTCGTGGGATTAGAAGGGATATCGATATTTTACGGTAGTCAGTAGTATCTGTAACTGTGTCGAGTGTATAACAAAAGAGTTTATCCCTATTCGTGTCCGTGGATATAAACCGATAAACAGAAAATAATCATTTTTTATACATGATCAGGAATAATCGTAAAAGTTACCTTGTGATCAGTGCGTCCAATATTGGAATCAAGAGTTTCGAAATCTAAAGAAACAAACTATCAATCTTCGAAAAAAAAAAAAAGAATCTCTGTAAATGTACATATTACGGCGGCTTAACACGTTTTGGATGTTATGCGGATGTTCTAGGCCAACATCCTGGACATCACCGACCAAAAAATTTCTCTACACCGTCTACACGATCTTCCTGTTACTGACGATACACAGTTTCCTGCTCACCCAGATTCTAGACCTAGTACTCGTGGTCGACAACCAGGACGATTTCGGTGATAATTTCTACGTGACGATGTCCATGCTCGTCACCTGCTGCAAATTAAATAGCATGCTAATAACACGCGAGAATATTCTTGGTCTGCTGAACACCCTTGAAGGGGAGCCATTTTTGCCGGTGAACGACGAGGAATTGGAAATTCGGACGAAATGCGACAGAATAACAGAGTGAGTTGCAATTTGTGATTTAACGAAAATATCAATATCGTCGGTCGAGTTCTTAATTGTTCTAACTCTAGTCTTCAAAGAAATTTAATTAATCAGTCTATGTGCATCTCATTGGTCCAAGGAATACAAATTTACCATACTATAAAGAAAATTCAATCTAGAAAACAACAAATATTTTTTCAACTCCTAATTCCGAAATTTTGAACGATTTCTGTTCTTAATGGTTGTACAGTGCTCCGTCGATTAATGTCAAGTACACTTCAGAACCTCGAAATTTGTTTTTGTCCGAAGTCGAGGACAATAAAATAAAGTATGCGCTTGACAGGTTCCACGGCCTTTCCTTCTCCAATGGTGGGGATGGCGCCCTGACAAAAATCGTGTAGAACCAGTCAGACAGTGATCGACGGATTACTGTATCTCCAAATACTAAGAACAAAGACACGGAGAACCACGTTAGTCCCACAACTGGGACAGTCCCTCTTTGGAAACAATCAAACCAGAGTAAAGAGAAGCTGAACAGAGGCTCGGCATCGGGCAAAAAACAAACTTATGAAGGTCTTGCCATGAATGATTCGAAGTGAACCCGAGTACGTCGCGCTCACCGAGACATTACTGTATTTTGTTTCGAATATAGAAACTCGGTTGTAGATGGAACGCGATGGCCTACTCGATCTCGTTACTATCCTGCGTGACATGGATGTTCCTGATGCCTGTGATCATGGAATACGAGAATCGAAAGTTAACGTTTCGCGTCTGGTTGCCGTTCGATTATACATCGGCCGGTGCGTACTGTCTCGCCTTCTCCCATCAACTTTTGGCCGCGATAATCTGCTGTGTCTCAGCCATCGCTTGCGACGGTCTGTTCAGCGGTCTTTTGGTTCACATTTACAGTCAGTTCGAGACACTCGGGAACCGGCTGCGAAATATTCACAGAGATGAAAACGATTCGGTGAAACAGTGTGTCCGTCATCATGACGAGATCTACAAGTTAGTTTCCCAGTTTTCCACCGGTAGAAACCACGTAACCGGGTTCCACGTAGTGTCGATTATTCGACGTTTAGATCGCACGTGACACAGAGTATATCTACACATCACACGAGTACTCTGGTTTTCAATGAAACCTTTCAATAGACTCCTTACACCCTCGAGTATACACGTAACAGGGTGGATAACGGAACGTGATTAGTTTAGATAATTGTACTGAACATTTTTTTGCACGCTCAATCATCGGTACAGGGACGTCACAAATATAACAAAACAGTCGTTTCTTACCGTTAACACGAGTGCATTGCAGCTGATGGACATCAATTCGAACATCTTTTCAATTAAGGTACATGATAGTTTCATAATGTGACTTTGGTTTAGGAAAAAAAAATTATTTGTTATGATTCTTGCCGAATTTGTCTTAGTATCCCCTGAAAGATGGGAGTAAAACAATTACTGGCTTATCTATAAAAAAAAAAACAGAAGGGGACCTTAAAAACTTTGGAAGAAAAGGATTGACAACAAATTTGATACAGCATCTTAAAGCTCTCTTTGAATCATATTATAGTTTGAAAAAATTTCGATCGAACAACTAACAGTAGAGTAATCTAAGCTAATTACGTTTCATGGTCCACCCTGTACATAGTTTTCGCGATGAAACAGTCTGTTTTTCCCTGAAATTGTTACAGATTCGCTGGCATGGTGAATCAACAGTTCGAAGGTATAATGCTCATACAGTTTTTGACGAGCACCGCGGCGATGTGCTTCGATCTTTATCGACTGACACAGAAGGATTTCGACTTGCGCGTTGTGGATGTCTTGCTGTTCATGTTTTGCACGCTCATACAGATATTTTACTACTGTTGGTACGGGAACGAGGTCAAGCTGAAGGTTTATTTTTCTCAGAAAATTCATTCTACTTTCGACAGAACCGTGGACTCTCTGTTTCATAGCATTTTGCTTTACAGAGTCTCGAGGTACCTGGTATGGTATTCGAAAGTGATTGGTTGTCTCTGAGCAACAGGTCGAAAAAGTCACTGCTGATGATCATGGGACGAGCAAGCGTGCCCATAGAGTTCACCAGCATCTACTTTCTTTCTATGGACCTCGAGTCTTTTAAGGCGGTTGGTACATTTTTGTCTTGAAATTCTTAGAGAGATTTCGTATTTTACAGCGGACATTACACGGTCAATTAATCCTCGAATGGTAAGGTGGGTATTAACGTCGTACATGGTAAAGTGGGGTTGGATATGACCCGAGCACTTTTTTGCTATGTTCACAGAGGTCAAAAACAAAGTTATTATATTAAACTTGAATTTTTTATATTTATATTATAAAGGCTAATAATTGAAATATATAACATATAATAAGTATTAAGTGTTTGATCAAACATGTCTCTCAACTATAGTTGCTGAAAATTTCGTACTCGGCGTTCAATTTGCTTCAACAAACCCGATAACAAATAGAAGAAACCTGGATGATCTCTTCTGTTTAGATAAGAAAATTTATTCTAGTGTTTTAGAAGCTATAGATACAAGAATGGAAATGGACAAGAACAAAGAATCACTTGTTAAGGGCTACCTTAATGTACAATGTACGTATGTAGAGAGTAAAATAATTGCTCTAAGTGTACTATTAACTTTCTTGTGTACAAGCCATACCTTCGATACAATTTCCCATTTCTACTGTCGTCTTCCTCGCAAAATTCATCTCACAGACATTTACGCGAAAATGACTGAAGAATCGAAAACAGACTGCATCAAATATCTTTGAAATCTTCACTGATATCAAAAGACAGAAGAAGGTTAACTTTTAAAAGGTTCGTATTCCGTGTACAATTTCCTTCAGCAAAAGGAATCGTCGAACTTTTTGTAACGCGAAGTATACCTTGTGGCACAAAATGCGAGATACACAATGCGTTATGAGCACTTGAGAAGAATACTTCTGTATGTAGGATACAATAAACAATATGAGTTGCGACGTATTCGAGTTTGAAATCGCCAATGTCGTAGTATATTAAAAAATAACTTGTTCGTAATGTAATGATTTCAAATCCCTTTCGTCCAGCGTAGTGTAGTGACATACAGTAAATTCTCGATGAGTGTCCGAAGGTTCCACGGCACTGGACATTAAATATTTCGCACAGAAACATAATATCATAAACCTCACGAAAAAGCCAGCGTTACACCCTGGGATCTTTGCTTGCCAGTGCCGAGGAGTCTTCGACACTCATCGAGGCTTTAGTGTACAATATGTACGATGTGAGCAGAGAGACGAAGGAATGACCTCTCATAATATTTAAACAGATACTTTTGTTCCACCATGAGGTTCGCTCTCATCGTCAAGTAATTCTACTTGTTTCCGAAATGATACAGATATTTACTAAAGACAGCTTACTGGACATTCAGCATGCTCCAATAAAGCGAGAAACAGAAGAAAATTGTAACTACATCTCGTTATAAGGTAAAAATTAGGTCGATCCTTCCTACTTTTAGATAATCGATAGTTTAAGCAAGGAACGATTGACGATACCAAAAGCGGAATATGTTGGTGTGTGAATAGCTTGATTTTTGTGCTAAACAATATCGTAACTTGCCTGTGACGTAGTGTATCTCACTGCTACTATCGTACACGAAATGAAATAGTCGATGAATACAGACACTAACTGATATCTTCATAATTCTCCATTATATTACGTCCCTTTACTTTCCAAGGAATTCATCGTTACCTTCCTTTCACTTGTAAGATTCGCTTTCGTATAAACTGGAGATGAAAAACAAGGGAAACGACGGAACTAAAACGAAATTATGATCAGACTGCGTAAGTATTTATGAACAGATAATCGCACGAATCGTCTAGTCGTATTATCGGTAGTTACCGTAATTACATAGCCGGTACGGGACAGGAGACAGCTAGAGAGGAATAATACCTTTTTCATGAGAGTAGAAGAGATATCGATATTCTACTGTAGTCAGTAGTAACTGTAACTGTGTCGAGTGTAGAACCAAAGAGTTTATACTTATTCATGTCCGTAGATATGAACCGATAAACAGAAAATAATAATATTTCATATACGTTAATAAATAATCGTAAAAGTTACCTCGTCATCAGTGAGTCCACCACGGAAATCAAGAGCTTCAAAATCTAAAGGAACAAACTATCAATCTTCGAAAAAAAGAACCTATGCAGATGTACATATTACGGCGACTTAACACGCTTCGGTCATTATGCGGATGTTCACGGCCAACATCCTGGACATCACCGACCAAGAAGTTTCTCTACACAGTCTACACTATTGTCGTGTTACTGACGATACACAGTTTACTGCTCATCCAGATCCTAGACCTAGTACTCGTGGTCGACAACCAGGACGATTTCGGTGATAATTTCTACGTGACGCTGACCGTTCTCACCACATGCATCAAATGGAATAGCATGTTAATGACACGCGAGAATATTCTTGGTCTGATGAACACCCTTCAAGGGGAGCCATTTTCGACGGTGAACGACGAGGAATTGGAAATTCGGACGAAATTCGACAGAATAGCAGAGTGAGTCGTAATCTGTGATTTTTTGTTTCGAATATAGAAACTCCCGATAAATGTTTGCAGATGGAACGCGATGGCCTACACGATCACCTTAGTATCCTGCGTGACATGGATGTTCGTGATGTCGCTGATCATGGAATACGAGAATCGAAAGTTAACGTTTCGCGTCTGGTTGCCGTTCGATTATACATCGGCCGGTGCGTACTGTCTCGCCTTCTCCCATCAACTTTTGGCCTCGATGATATGCTGTGTCTCAATCGTCGCTTGCAACGGTCTGTTCAGCGGTCTTTTGGTTCACATTTACAGTCAGTTCGAGACACTACGGAACCGTCTGCGAAATATTCACAGAGATGAAAACGATTCGGTGAAACAGTGTGCTCGTCATCATAACGAGATCTACAAGTTGGTTTCCCAGTTTTCTACCGGTAGAAACCACGTAACCGAGTTCCACGTAGTGTCGATTATTCGACGTTTAGATCGCACGTGACACTGAGTATATCTACACATCACACGAGTACTCTGGTTTTCAATGAAACCTTTCAATAGACTCCTTACACCCTCGAGTATACACGTAACAGGGTGGATAACGGAACGTGATTAGTTTAGATAATTGTACTGAACATTTTTTTGCACGCTCAATCATCGGTACAGGGACGTCACAAATATAACAAAACAGTCGTTTCTTACCGTTAACACGAGTGCATTGCAGCTGATGGACATCAATTCGAACATCTTTTCAATTAAGGTACATGATAGTTTCATAATGTGACTTTGGTTTAGGAAAAAAAAATTATTTGTTATGATTCTTGCCGAATTTGTCTTAGTATCCCCTGAAAGATGGGCGTAACAAAATTACAGGCTTATTTATAAAAAAAACTGAACGGGACCTTGAAAACTGGAAGAAAAGGATTGATGACAAATTTGATATAGAATCTTGAAGCTCTGTTTGAATCATATTATAGCTAGAAAAAATTTCGATCGAATAGCTAACAATAGATTACTCTAAGCTAATCACGTTTCATGGTCCACCCTGTACACGACCTTCGCGATGAAACAGTCTGTTCTTCCCTGAAATCGTTACAGATTCGCAGCCTTGGTGAACCAACAGTTCGAAGGTATAATGCTCGTACAGTTTGTCACGAGCACCGCGACTTTGTGCTTCGATCTTTATCGACTGAACCGGATGAATCTCGACTTGAACATCGTGGACGTGTTGATGTACACGGCTTGCACGCTCTTGCAGATATTTTACTACAGTTGGTACGGGAACGAGGTTAAGCTGAAGGTCTATTTTTCTCATAAAATTTATTCTACTTTCGACAGAACCTTGGACTCTCTGTTTCCATAACATTTTCCTTTACAGAGTCTCGAAGTGCCTGGCATTGTATTTGAAAGTGATTGGATGTTTCTGAGCAACAGCTCGAAAAAGTCATTACTGATTATCATGCAACGAGCAAGCGTGCCCATAGAGTTCACCTGTGTCCACTTACTGTCTATGAACCTCGACTCTTTCAAGGCGGTTGGTATATTTTTCTTTTGGAACTTCTTAGAGAGATTTCGTACTCTACAGTGTACTTTACCAATTAACTCTCGAATGGTAAGGTGCGTTTTAAGGTCGTACATGGTAAGGTGGGGTTGAACCTGCCCCGAGCACTTTTTTGCAATGTTCAGAGATGTAAAAAACAAAGTTATTATCTTAAACTTGAATTTTTTTTATTTATATTATAAAGGCTAATAATTGAAATATATAACATACAATAAGTATTGAATGTTTACTGAATAATAAAAAATATTTTAAGACGAGAATAATAATACAAAATAGAGTGGGGACAGGAAAAAAGAATTGTAATTTCGGTTGGATACGACCTGGACCTTACCATTAGAGGGTTAATTAGTATTCAATAACACACCAACAGGATTATTTTGTGTGTAAGATCCGCCGAAGTCTCTCTAGGTCACTCTAGAACTGATTTGTTAACTAGCAAATAAACTGATTGAACGTCCCTCTTAACTATAGTTGCTGAAAACTTCATACTCGGCGTTCAATTTGCTTCAACAAACCCGATAACAAAAAGAGGAAACCTGGATGATCTTTTCTGTTTAGATAAGAATATTAATTCCAGTGCTTTAGAAGATATAGATACAAACATGGAAATGGACAACAAAGAATGACTCGTTAAGGGCTACCTTAATGTACAATGAACGTATGTAGAGAGTAAAATAATTGGTCTAAGGATACTATTAACTTTCTTGTGTACAAGTCATACCTTCGATACAAATTCCCATTTCTACTGTCGTTTCCTTCGTAAAATTCATCTCACAGACATTTGGCGAAGATGATAAAAGAATCGAAAGCAGTCTGCATCAAATATCTTTGAAATCTTCAGATATCAAAAGACAGAAAAAGGTTAACTTTTAAAAGATTTATATTGCAGTTAGAGTTCCAGAGACTATTCTCCAGGTTTTTCCTATTCACGTCTGCCAGGAAATCGAATTCCGTGACAGGAAAACACTCTAAAGAAGAGATAGGGTGAAACTACAGATAGGTATGTCGCGTTTAAACGAAGAATGGCGAGTGTAATCATCAAAACTGCAAAGGAAACATTGGAGAAAAGAACATGTTGAAAAATACCACAATTTCACAACCCACCTGGACGATGTCAATTACGATAATGATACAGCCCGGGAAGCGAAGGGAATGTTCAGCGAGAAAGAGTGGACGGTTTGTCGATATTCTATTGTTGCCGTCAGTGGTGTCTGAATCTTCGCGCCTCAATGAGTTCTTTTAGTCAACAAGGTCAACCACGTTATTTATTCGTTGCAACTTGTTTCGGTGAGGTTTTGTTTCTATCGTGAACAAAATTTCGTAATATACAGTGGAATCAATTCTTCGAGGAATCTACAATGCACACGTTACGTTTGGTTTCTAAGATCCTTTCGATCGCCGGCTGTTGGCCGCCCACTTCTTGCTCGCGGCGTAAAAAACTGTTGTTCGACGTCTACACTGTAGTAGTGTTTTTATTCATACACACGTTCACGATCACTCTGATTCTCGACATATTCCTTATCGTAGACAATCTGGCAGATTTCAATGATAATTTCTGTATAACCGTACCGTTACTGTCCACGTGTTTTAAGTTGTACAGTTTGCTAGCGAATCGCAGGAACATGGAAACATTGCTGGACACACTCGAACAGGAGCCGTTCGCGCCAGTGAACATAGACGAATGTGAAATACGACGAAGGTTTCATAGACTAACGGAGTAAGTAAGTCTAGTTTTAGCGTTAACCTCTTAGCTGTAGTGCAGAGGTTTTTAAGAGTGCGTATCTACGTTCTGGCCCTAGAACGACGCGATGACGAGCATATTCGTCGAACACAGAGTACCTGCTGCAAAATTTAATTAGATTATAAGAAAATAACACTTGTCATTTTTGTTGAAAAATCAATAATATTGTTGTTTAAATTTATTTAAAATTTTTCTTATTAAAAAAAAATTATTTAGAAAAATTATTTAGTAAAAAGAACTAGACTAGTCAGACAGTCTCAAAATATTCTAAAATGTCAAAATTTAAGAATATGTTTCAGTTTTCACAAAAATTTTAATTTAAATAACAAATGGTAATTACTTTTCCCGCATGACGAGTATACTCGTCGTTCACAGCTAAGAGGTTAACACGCCCACTGTCACGGTAATCACCGGTGATTGGTCCCCGTTAGATAATGATCTAATTATACTGCTCAAATAATAATAATTTGGCCAGTCAACATAAAATTCCGACAAAATCTGCAGTTAATACTTTTCCAGGTGGAACACGACTGTCTACATGATTTTGGTCAAATTTTGTATAATGTGGATGTTCGTAACATCGTCCACGAATTACAGACTGAGAAAACTGAAATTCCGTGCCTGGCTGCCGTATGATTACTCGTCCACGGTTCTGTTTAATCTTACCTACTTCCATCAGATTGTGTCTGCCTTGTACGCAGGGCTTCTGGGCGTCAGTTCCGAGACGTTGTACAGCGGCCTGTTGATCCACACGCACGGGCAGCTGGAGTTGCTCGAGTACCGACTGAAAAATATCGAGAAAAACGAGAATTATTCGGTGAAACGGTGTGCTCGACTTTTTTTTTTTTTTTTTTTTTTTTTTTTTTTTTTTTGGTGCATATATTGTATTATTTCACGATTAAATCCGTGTTTATCTTCCTTCCAAGATTTGCCGCGAGAGTGAACAGAGGATTTAAAACGATCGTGAGCACGCAATTTTTATTCAGCACATTGGTGGTGTGCTTTCAGCTGTATCAATTCACGCAAATGAAGAGGACCATGAACTCGGAGCTTCTAGAAATGATGATTTTCCTGTTCACCATACTCATCCAGGTATTTTACTACTGTTGGTATGGAAACGAGACGAAGCTGAAGGTTCGTTAATAAGAGAGAAAAAAAACGAAACGTTCGATCACTCGGTTATATCGGTTGAGCTTTTGCACGATTTCTTGTTAAACAGAGTTTGGCTATTCCTGACATGATTTTTGGTAGTAATTGGACGTCGTTCAATAATAACACCAGGAAAATTCTCCTGATGATCATGAGACGTGCCACGGTACCGATCGAGATTACCAGCGTTTTCGTTGTGTCGATGAATTTACAAACATTCGTGACGGTCAGTACTACTGATTAGAAAAAGTGATAAATTACCACGCATGTAAACGCGAGTGTCGATCAAAACACGTTAATATTTTACAGATACTTAAAAATGCTTACTCAGCGTGTAATCTGCTGCAAAAACATCAAAGATAGAAAAAATAGTTTTCCCAGTTCGCTGGGTAGGAGCTGACGAACAAAAGGTTAAGGACAATCGAATTCTACGTCTATTGTATGTATAGCGAAATATTTCATCGAAATAGAAATAAATTGTAGTCTAATTTTACAACTGTTGCTAGTCGTTACGAAATCTGTTCGAACAACAAGCGACACGCAAAACTAACTTACTGGTTGAACGTAAAACCACAACACGCCTCTGACACGTTTCACGCATCTATGGTCATTCTTGTCAAATAAAATAGTATCATACAATCCTAGAATGCAATTCGAAATGAACGAGGAACTGAAGAACTTGTGGCCTTTTAAATATTCACCTGCATGCATTAGAAATGTTCACAGAACTCAATTCCTCATTCAGCAATTTACGTTCAGTAAGAATAGCAATAAATTTTATGCAAAAATATTAATAACATTTCTGACAAACACCGACGAGTTCTCTATAAAAAACAAGAATTTCCAATACACACTATTACATCACTAAAACATCCTGCACATATTTCTCGGTACAATCGTATAAATTCTGACAAAAGAATCTCTCTATTACTCCACCGAAGTGCCAGGAATCCCTTAACTATGTATTCAAAATTAGAAAGTGTCACTCGGTTGGCCGTCGAATATAAACACCGTTAAATATATATATTTTCTGGACGTATTCCAACTATTCGGTGGGGAAATAATAACCGCCTGTTAACTGGATACCGACTGTCCCACTAAAAAAATCTTTCCTCGCGGCGAATTTATTGGAAAACACTTCTTTTGACTTACGTATCAAGCGAGTGTTTTGCTCCAGAGTTCGAACATCCGTCACGGTAAATCCATCGGGGAGCTACCCTTCCGTCTTCCACGGTCGACAACGGCGTACTGACAAGAGTTCTCTTCGAGGAGTTTATTGTTTATTAATTTTTCGTAGAGGGGACATATGTCGATGGCCGTTGACGAGTGATTACCTTTTTCTAGCGTGAATTCGTGCTCTCCCCTCCCCTTTCCTTTATTCTCTTCGTACGGTCTTTCTATTCAATCGTCCTTTCGAGGGTCGGAAACATTACTACAATGTAGCAACGATACAGACAGAAAGAAAACAAAAGAAACAAAGGATATACCGGAATTACAAAACTTGACTACGGTAAAATTTTTCCCCCGGTCGGAAGTCACGACGAGGGTGTAATTACGGTTTCTGCGGTCGAGGGGGAACTGGGAGGGTATCGAGAGGGTAATAACAGCGGGATATGTGCGTCGAAGGGGAAAATCGTTAGGGACGAAAACATCTGGTCGAGCAGAAGAAACGGTGCAGTTCGGAACGAACTTCTCACCTTCTGTAAACGATCTTAGATGTTCTAGCAAGTGCCAACATTTGTATCCGCGTAATCAGAAATTTTCATGAATTTTAAGTCGACGTTCCTTGAACGTGAAAGAAATCGATTGTAATTTTTAAATAATACAAAATTAGGCGAAACGTTCTCTTCAAAAGAAATGCACAAACTACCCCTTTCCTTTGCGTTCCTCACATACAGTGGCTACTGGAGACCGACAAGGTGGTCGGTTCACTCGTTGAAATACTGGTTATACAATGTTTACTCAGTATTTATGGTACTATTGCTGTACACGTTCACGTTCTGCGCGTTCGTAGACTCCGTGATCAGCAAAGACCTCAGAACCACCACCGATAAATTTTCGGTGTTCATCTCGATACTAGGGGTCTGCATAAAGATCGCGAATCTGTTTCTACAACGTGAGAAGATCATACGCGTGGTCGATATTTTGCTAACGGAGAATTGCGTTCCGAGGGACGAGGACGAGATGATGATACAACGGAAGTCCGACGCCTACGCCAGGTTGCTTTTTTTACATTTTCCTTAATGGGGTGTTGCGGCGACTCGCGATTTGCCACCTGCTCGTTCGTAAATTAATATTGTGAATTAATGTTGTGCGGTAATATGTGGTTTAAATGATTGATACAAGTTGGTAACACACTTTGACTTTAAGGTAAACTTATTAATGTGATGTATGTGTATGTGTGTACTGGTTGTGTTCTGATTGCTCGATGTGTTCTGGTTGACGATTGAATGTGTTCTGGTGAATGAGTGAATGTATAAATGCTTGCTGGAACGGATCGACTCGTGATTGGTGGAAAATGAAAAATTTTTGTTGGTGTACGTCGTTCAAGAGGTGGTTGTATGAGTTGGGAGAAGTGGGGTTTCGTGTATGTATTGTTTCTTGGCTTCCTGGAAATCAGCGCCGAAATATAATAAGGAACGGTCTTGAGGACCGCGAGTGTTTTGTAAATATATACATGATGTGTAGCTATCCAGGTATTCCTGTTTATGACGGTTTGGTGACGGCCCAATATGCGAGACCGTTGCGAACATCGCCTACCTGTATTGGGTCTCGATAATGGAAAATGCTTTTAACCGGTTTTTTTCTAAAATTCACAGTTTTAGATTCGAATTTTTAATAATTAAAATGTGATAAAATTTTAACTTTTGTACTTGAAAGATTTACCGCGTTAGCAATAACACATAAATAGTCTTAAACTTTATTCAAATCTCTATTTTATTGCATTTTCCAAGTTAAGGATAGCTATATGTAAATGCAAAAACATTCGCAGTCCAAACCATGATTTTCATTGAATTGTTTACAGAGCAAATTTTTCTTACAGAAGGCTGACAATATACTGTGAGATCCTGAACGAATCCGCGGCGTCGTTCGCAACGGTGGCGCAATTCGACAAATTGATCAGGACGAGGACATTACCGATATCTGATTGGGTACCCTACGATCTATCCTCGAGAAAGGTCCACATGATATCTCTGTTACATCAAACGTTTGGTTTGATGATCTGCGCGAACGCTAGCGTGGCCAACGAAACGCTGATCGCTGGATTGATGATCCAGGTCAGAGCGCAATTCGAGATATTTTGTCATCGAGCACGATCCTTGCCCGTTTCACTGCTGGAAGTACAGAGGAACAGCGTCTCGATAGAGGATTTGGAGAACAAGAGAAAGAAGATTCTGAGGGAGTTGGTTCAACATCACCTTGAAATTTACAAGTACGAAATGAAACCTTTTAGAAATATGTAACTGAATAATTACCAGTTAAAGCTAGAAACAATATTTCTGATGATAGATTCGCGGAGACCGTGAACGCAATTTTCCAGTACACGATTTTCCTCCAGTTCATGATAAGTTCGACGGTGCTGTGTCTGAGTATTTACACGATGTCGACAGCGGACTCGTTCGACGTGAACTTCGTTTGGACCTTCTCCTATTTGTGCTGTATGCTGATGCAGGTGTATTTATACTGCTGGTTCGGAAACGAGGTGACGTTGAAGGTTGGCACCGAATTTCCTTTCCTTGAATCATTCAGTGTGCCGAACACCGATCTAGAATCGAATGAAATGTCTATCATTTCTTCGAGAAGTTATTCTGACGTTTTTTCCAAACATCTCTCATCCTCTAGAATCACTCCAATTTAGGGGGCATTTCGGAATTTGTTGACACTTGGATATGGTGTAGTCTTTGGTAATATATAAACGTATCTGAATGGATTTTTGAAGATTTTAAAAATTGTTGATTCCACAGCTGTTTGAAATATACTGTCAACCTTTTTTCAAGAAATCATAACTGTTAAACCCACAAACTGATTAAAATGAGTTTTGTGGGTGCTTATAGTGAAGACATAAGAGTACCTAATAAAAATTATTTCAGTTTAAAGAAATATTTTCACAAATTTAAAAATTTTTCAATTGGGTTGTACTATTACAAAATTGCATTTCTTTCAAAAAATTGCAAGACAAATAGTTCAAAAATATTTTTTTTCCAAAGTGTCCGATTTCGCGTGGAATGCCCCTTTGGTAATTTAATTATTTTGCGATATGTTCGTAGAGCATGCAAGTAAGCGACGCGATTTATGAAATGGATTGGACCACGCTGCCCGTTAATATTATGAAGGATTTGTTGATGATCATAAAGAGATCCAAACGACCTTTCAGAATGTCGAGCGCTCACATTATCACGTTATCCACGGATTCTTTTATGGCCGTTAGTTAAATAACAATTTTACTTACTTAATAATTTCCACGGAAGAGAACGGTTTTGTAATGATTGCAAATTGCAGATCATGAAAATAACGTACTCGTCGTACAACATTTTGAAAGACTCCTCTAAGAAGTAAGAAGAATATTTGTCCGTCTCTGCAATCGTTCAATGTACATTGAGCCTTTTCATAAGTATCATAAGAGCATTTATCAGTCTGTTATTTAAACAGTTACCATACTACAGCCTCATTTTATATACTTGTCACAATAAAAAAAATTACAGAAAAATATGCAAAATCTTCTGCGTTCAAAACACCCTAAGAAAAATTTCACAGCATAATGTAATTCAATATAGTACACTCACATCACTAATAAGTTCTTGTAGCTCTCTCGAAACTTCGAAGAAGAATGGAGCTGCGCGTGTATGGAACAGAAATGATAATACGGCTTTTACCATAACCCACTCTAACGTAAGAAATTATCTACCAGCAACATTGACAATATAACGGAATTTCCTGGAACAGCATTTATTCACCGCAATAAGACATATAATTGTAATCTAGTTCTAAAAGCATACAGGAAAGGGGTGCATCGTTAATGAGCCTCGCAATAATGTTCCTCAAATGTGGACGAGCGACCGTAGGGTGAATATCAAGAAGATTCGCTTTCGATGTACCATACTTTTTTGAAACACTGATTCTTCATTGAGATGTGCTGATTTTTTGAGAACAGACGCACCAGAGAAAGTTTGTTAAACAATGGGGCTATCGTACCTCTTCACTATATCGACTTTTTGTGGAATCTGGCGACCGCTTTCGTGGTCGTCGAGATTCAAAAAAGTGTTATACAACATGTATTCCGTATTTGTGGTGTGTATGAACGTCACATTCACCATTTCTCAAATCATTAGCGTGCTGACCGTGGATAACTTGGACGATTTTGCCGAGAACACTTACATGCTAGTGCCCGCGATTGTCTGCTGTTGCAAACTAATTAACCTGTTGGTATATCGTGGAGGTATTATAGAACTCGTGAAAATTTTCCTAGAGGAACCGTGCGCCACGTTGAACGACAAAGAAGAGCTGATTCAGATGAGATACGATAAACAAATACGGTCAGTATGAATTTTTTTTTCTTTCTTTTTGTTATTATGATACTTTTGCTAATTGTCGAAGATACTCGCAGGACCAATATCATCAAATATACCAGGATGGTGAAGTCGTCAACTGTTATGATACTTTTCACTTCGTTCCTGAACGACTTTCGGAACGGCAGACTGACGTACAGAGCCTGGATACCTTACAATTATTCGTCCACGACCGCTTTTGGATTGACCTATATCCATCAGATGATGGCTTTAGCCATCGCTGGATACGTGCATTTGGCCTGTGACGTTCTGCTGTGCGGTCTGCTGTCGCAGATCTGCTGCCAATTCGACATTCTACAGTGTCGCTTGAACGAGGTGAAAAAGAACGAAACGATCGCCCTTCGGGAATGCGTTCGTCACCACAACAGGATTTACAAGTAATTGAGGGGCTCTGTGGAAAAGGGGCACATGTCACATCTACGTTGATTTTTAGTTTTTTTTTTTTGCACCATCAAAAAGCTCTTAATATTTTTCTTTCGTTGCCCTTCCATTTATTCTCATTACGAGAACGCTTCTTACTTCCTATTTCTGCATTATTTGCTTCATACAATAACTGATCAAGCGAACTAGATGTTATCTCTATGTTGAATACAAAAATAATCTTTGTTTATTTTCAAGATAGAGACAACGTAAATAAAAATATTCCTCCTTCACATCCCAAATCGGACTGAATAAAAAGGGCACAGCAGCAAAGGCCAGAGTAGCCGTAATCTTTTTTTTACATTGTTCAAAAACGTGTAACCTGATACGAATGTTTGAGCCAAGATTTGATAATTGCCATTTACCATCTACCTTAATTACCAAGTAAAATAACACAGTTGCCGTGTGAACTTATACTATACTAAACGCATGCGATTTTTCGCTCCGTTTTATTTTTGTATCCGATTCCATTCGATTCTCATTTCCGCAGACTAGCCGCAATGGTGAACGACACGCTGAACTTGACGATCTTTGCGCAATTTTTCGGAAGCTTTCTGGCGCTCTGCCTCAGCCTGATCAAGCTAATAAAGGAGAACACATTGAGCACGCAAGTCATATCGTTGCTATTTTTTGTGGTGATGATAATGACTCAAAGCTTTCTTTACTGTTGGTACGGAAACGAAGTGACACTGAAGGTTCGTTCCGAAAGTTTTTTACCAATATGAAAAATTTATAGAACAAAATATGGAAGTTCAATTCGTGTGTTTCCAGAGTATCGCGGTAGCAGACATGATTTTTCAGATGAATTGGATAGAAACGAATGAACAGGCTAAAAAAATCCTCATTATTACGATGAGTCGCTCGAGATCGCCGATACAGCTGGAAACCGCGCACGTGATGACGTGCGACCTGGACTTCTTCGTGGCCGTTAGTAACAAGTACAGTGAATTCTCGATAAGTGTTCGAAGGCTCCTCGGCAATGAACATTAACCCTTTCAGACCTGATTTTCTAAGAGTACAAAAAATATTTGATTACACATTTTAACTCAGTAGACTGTTTAGATGGTATTTTGTTTTAAGAAAATGTTTATATGTCCCATAGTTTTGTAGATATTAAATGTACACATATGTGTACATTTGGGATTCATGTATCGTATGGCACCTAAGAGAGTACAAATCAGGAAAGAAACATCGCAGTACTTTATAATACTGAATGGTAATGTATTAACACATGAAACTGAAGAAGACATGTGGAAAATTGTACTGTTTGCAGGTTCGATTATTTTATCTTTCAGGTTTGTTATTCAATTCTGAATTCATTAGACTTACTAAAAATATTCAGAGTATGAGAAAATTAAAACTTACAAGAAAAATATTGATCTGCTGTACCTAAGGTTTTGTGTGAAATTGTAAAAACTTCATGTACATAAATGTGACCATCAGGTCTGAAAGGATTAAATATTTTCAAAATTAATAATCATACGTAGCTGGCAACAAGTATCCTTGGCCTAGAATTGCAAGTTCTATCACTGTGCTAAACCCCATTAAAAAGTCAGCGATACAACTGGGAACCTCTCCTTGTCAATGCCTTCGGACACTCATCGAAGATTTACCGTATTTCTACCTCCCACGACTGTCTGATCGAACCAAACTGTTTACTGCCTCTATTCGTTTAATTCCAGTTACTTAAAAGCTCCTACTCGATGTACAATGTGTTGCAAAGCACACGAAAATAACAGCGACGAAGAAACGGGAAGCCTGCCATTCTCATCATACGTCACTAGTCGATGATTTTTCCACTGAATAAACTTTTTTCTATCGTATAATCGCAGCTCGTTTATATCGTTATTCCGCTGGATGCATCGAGTAATTCGATCCAACCTGGCATTGACCATAAACACGCCCCGCTTGAAACGTCCCGGGCGTGTGTTCGTTAAAAGCACGCTTCGAAACACGGAATTGCCAAACGATCCAAAAATCGAGTCCACGTTAACTCCCCCATGGAATCCGCGGTGGATTGTCGAACGGTGTCTCCCCATTGGAAGGTGTGAGAAATCGTTCGGAGGAGTCGCGGCGCGAGCAGAAAATAAACGTTCAGGACCCCACCCCCGTAGAACTTTCCGTGGCGGTCCATTTTTGGGCTCCCCCACCTCTTCGTCTTCGGTTGCCCGCGGAGCATCGCGTCCCGCTCGTCTCCGACGACGAAGAAGCTATCCGTGGCACCCTTCGGACACTCGACTCGCGCCACTCTGCTCGCTCGGGTTAGGTAAGTGAACTCTGAGCACAAAGAAAAAGAAAAGAAAAGAAAAAAATACTTCTTTTCTCCGGTGTGAATCGCCCAACAATCGTCTTTATCGCTAATCATCGTCGTGTCGATCATCTTCGTTTCCTTTTCGCAACGTTCGATCGACGATTTTCACCTCGATCGCGGTGTATCGCGTGCCCGACTGAACGTCAAACGCGAGTGCGAAAGAATAACCGATGATGGTAGAATGGTGGAGGAAGAATGTGTACGTGGATCTGTCTTCTGATGAAGGATCCATGGACGGTGGTCTTTGGACCCCTGAGAAAAAGAGTGTTCCTAGTGGAAGGACCTCGTGTGAACCTACCATTCGTGGAGAAAAGTATTCAAACTCTAGGCAACACTTGAAGATGGACCGACAACCGCTTGATGCTACTAATGAAAGCTGCTTGGACTAACGAGCTTCGACTTTTTTTGGGCTACTAGGAGCTTGAAGGTTTTGAGCAATGTTCTCTCTGCTTTTGCTTGTAAGTAGCAATTAAATGTTTAACATTGCGTTTGCTGTTAACAATCGTAGATCGCGATTCGGCTGTTGTCAAGGTGAGACGCTTCAGCGATGAAAACTAGTAAAACCGTACTTTTCTTTATTTGGCTGTTGAGGGTAGGGGAAGGAAAAGATGAAATATTGTAGTCCACTTTGTGGCAAAAATAAACCGGCTGCCAGCATCGAGTCATTCCGTTCATGCATGCTATTTTCAAACCTCTAACGTCCGCGGAATGATTCGATAGATATAACACATACATGAAAGTTAAACTCTCAAAATTTTCCGCATAAACGACAACTAGAATAATCCTCGGTAATGTACGTCTATTATAGTCGTGACTTAAAATTCTTGCAGGCAGATCTATCATATCGGAGAGTGGAGCACGCTTTTGCAAGGCATTTTAACCATCGCCGTATAAGAACATCGCCAACTAACGCTTCAAGAACTCGCTTTCTGGCCTTAACTTAACAAAATGCCGTAAGTAACGTTCGCAATCTCACACCCTAACACATCTTCCCACACGCAATTGCTTCAACGCTAAAACTATCGTAGAACATAATCTAACAAGGTCCCAGGCTGTTATTGACTTTCGTGGATCTACTTTCTTATGTCACTTTGGCACTCGGGGGTAACCAGATGCCAAAAGCCTCCAGACGCTATTAATATCCAGAAAGAGGGTCGGATGTTGCCATTCAGCTACCGATCATTCAAATGGATCACTATATTACCATCGTACCTACGTGATCGTTCTTCGTATCATTAAATATTTACACAATAATTCTTCGATGGAAAAAATTTCTCGAAGTAAACATCACGGGAATAAAAATATTCGTTCATGTTCGAAATTCCAGCGTCGAATGAAACTCGGAAAAGGACGATCGTATGTCATTCCACATCGATCCTGAAAGACGGGAGATAAACTGACGAAGACACGAAATCGATAGTTCTCAGTGATCCTCGGGGGAAATCCGGATCTTCGCAGGATCTCTAGCCTAGTGGGATACCGCTAGGTGCCGGGCGATGATTTCGTAAATGCTATTAATACACGGCAGTTAGATCGAATGTCGGTCGGCCCGGTGGCGGCCAAGTAAAGCCCGTTCTTCTGGGTTACGCTCTCGTGCTTTTTGGCCTCCTCGCGGCCCTCTGAAACGCCGGCCGCCCATCTTCTCTCTCCCTCTTTTCGTCGTTCCGCGCATATTTATAGAGCCTGGCTATGGATGCTATTTCCGTAGTACGCGGCGACGTACTCTCTCCTCTCTTCGTGGCCGAACGGTATCATCCGGCGGATTATGACTCGCAGAACTTCACGAAGATCGACGAAATATGCAAGCCCTGAGATCTCCGCTTCATCCGCGGCTGATGCTCTATTTTCAGGGTTAAAACTGGTCGCTCGGATGGGGTCCGTGAAGATGAGGGTATTTGGATGGATTCCATTGTTCATCGAAAGATAATGGAAGATTCCATATTGGAAATGTATTCTTGATTTCTTTTAATCGCATTTAATCATTCGTTGATGATTAAGAAGGATTATTAGAACGTCTTCTAATATCTTGATAATGGAGAATATACCGTCTCTTATATTGATCCTCTAAGTCGTGGAAGTTTTGGAACACGAGAAGATCGCGATCATTTTCGGCTGCATTTGATCCACATTTCATGGCGACCAACAGGATGTTTAGTAGATTGTTAAACGTGAGAAATAAATGGGGGATTTCAGCGAACTCGATAGTTTCACGAAGGAAGCCGGCAAAAGAAAAAGGTCGCCACCATGGACGCGATCAAGAAGAAGATGCAAGCGATGAAGCTTGAGAAGGACAACGCGATGGACAAGGCTGACGCCTGCGAGGGCCAGGCCAAGGAGGCGAATATGCGCGCGGACAAAGTCAACGAGGAAGTCAGCGACCTGCAGAAGAAACTGATCCAGGTGGAGGGCGATCTCACGGCCAATAAAGGGGCCCTGGATCAGGCGAACAAGGATCTGGAGGAGAAAGAGAAGGCTCTGACTAACGTAAGTCCTACTGAAAATTGTTAACCGAATTGACCAACTCCAGTTGCTCCAGTTTACTTTTGGACCGGGTCCAACAAACGATTCTCACTGACAGGTCTTATTTTAGTTTTGTCATCGAACGGTAGGCCTCTTGTATGAGATCGATGACTAAGTGTGACGCAGTTGAACTGCGGCACGATCATCTGTTTCTCCCTACCGTTCTCTTCGTCCTCCCCTATTTAAAGAGCCACGGGTCAAATGATTCACGGGTGATTTTTAATTTTAGGCTGAATCCGAGGTCGCTGCTCTGAACCGTAAGGTGCAGCTGATTGAGGAGGACTTGGAGCGATCCGAGGAGCGACTGAACACCGCTACTGCTAAGTTAGCCGAGGCGTCTCAGGCTGCTGATGAGTCTAGCCGGTAGATTGTTTAATAAATTATCACTGATTATTATAAGATTGTTTTATGGATAGACTACGATGGTCTGATCGAACATTATTTCAGTATGTGCAAAGTATTGGAGAACCGTGCACAGCAGGATGAGGAGAGGATGGATCAGCTGACGAACCAACTGAAGGAGGCTCGTCTGCTCGCTGAAGACGCCGACGGAAAATCTGACGAGGTATCGCGAAAGCTGGCCTTCGTTGAAGACGAGCTGGAAGTCGCCGAAGACCGAGTCAAATCTGGTGAAGCGTGAGTGATCTGTTCTTTACTCGAATGATTTTGCTAGCCGATTCGATCATGGAGTGTTTCTTTCATTTTCCAGCAAGATCATGGAACTGGAGGAAGAACTTAAAGTTGTCGGTAACAGCTTGAAATCTTTGGAAGTATCCGAAGAGAAAGTGAGTACTTTCGTTCCACTGTGTATCCTCTTTGAATTTCGACACGAATTTTATCTGATTGGATTGCTTCAGGCCAACCAAAGAGTCGAGGAATTCAAGAGGCAACTCAAAACTCTGACGGTGAAACTAAAGGAAGCGGAAGCCCGGGCCGAATTCGCTGAGAAAACTGTCAAGAAACTCCAGAAGGAGGTCGACAGGCTCGAAGGTCAGTTTGCAATGTCGTTTTTTTCTTTCTTGCATAAATAATAATAAGTCAATAGTAACTTGTATTCGTACAGCTTCGGTTTCGATGACCAGCGAATGGATTTTAATTTTCGAAAAATAAAACAAAGAAAATGTTGCGATGCGCGCACTTTGCTGTTAGTAACATTAAATTTAGACTATTTTGCGATGAACTCAGGCTGCCGTGACGTAATTTGGCAAAATGACAAAGGCGCTTCCGTGATTCGGCCTACACTGGAATGGTATCAAAGATATTCGTGGTGAATTTGCCAACCTTGAGCAATGTCAGAAGCCATTCTATTAAATTACACGCGTCGTTAAACGATCGATCACGATAAGGAAACACGCAATTTTTAATACGAAACTCTTGACTAGCAACGATTGTTTCCAGTTACCGGAGATTGCAAATGGTAGTGCTCGGTTAGAAAATTTCCGTGATAATGAACCGACAATACATCGTGCAACACTACTGATTTTCTTTGCAGACGTATTGCACCAGCAGAAGGACAAACGCAAAACGATTTGCGAAGAATTGGACAAGACATTCGCTGAGCTTTCTGGCTACTAAAAAAAAAAAAACAAAAAAAAAACAAGACAGAAAGAAAAGAAATCACTCATACTAGCTCAAAACTTTTCTCGTTTATTCCTTTGTTCGAAATGTTTTCACCGTACCGACGAAGAAACTTTTACCGCTTCAGCTACGTTTTTTCCTTTTTACGCACTGAGCTTCCAAATTTCGGCGTATTTTTTTACTCGTTTCTGTTTATTTTTTTCTTGTGTCTCACTTTAACAAACATACTTTCTTTTACAAAGTGAACGCATTCCACGTACTTCCGCTTTTTCTCCGCTCATACAAAATGCGCAAAAATCACTCTTCACAGATAATATTATATAGTTCGTATCCGAGGATTTCCTAAAATTTTCGTAAACATTTTGTTTCTTTTATCGTTTCACCGTTACACCATCCGATCGTTGTTTGTCTTTGTCTCGTCCGATTTGGGAGCGCTTTGCTTAGTTTGTTTTTTTTTCTCTCTGACAAAGGAATACATAGTATTTTCTTTTCTCTCGTTTAACTTGAGCATTGTCTATTAATACATACATATATATACGCGTACATCGAAATACACAAGCACACAAGGCGCTTAACAGAATGAAATATAAACAAAAAAAAAAAAAAATTATTAAAAAAAGCTTCGCACGTTTATGTGGGCCGTCGTACGTCAGGTACATTTGCCAACCCCTCGCAAAACCGTTTGCCTTACACTCGTGCAAAGGTATACTACACCTCACGATTCTTGCATGCTTCGAGCAATGTGATTAACCAACGAAGAAAATTACATTGAACGAGTAGTGATCACACACCAAACTGTGTACGTTTACGGTGATTGTTAGTTCGTATAAAGTTCAGACAGACTAGAATTAAAAAGACATTTGTTTCCTCTGTTTAAGAGTATTATGACGTTCAAAAATAAGGTAAGAAACTCTATTCGTGTAATAGAGCATCTTATGGACTATATTCATGTAATGGAGTCTGCAATATCTAAATTACGATCGGATCAAAATTAACTGACCGGTTGACTTTGCTCCGACCACAGTTGGATACGGTGCACGCGAACAAATATAGAACGAAGATGTGATTTTCTTCCTTAGAAAGGCAGAAAGTTATTAAAGCTTCGATTAACATACCGCTTATCACACCCGTGTAAATGTGCGACACGATGCTTTTTGTGTAACCATTTTGTATCGTACAACACACACCGGCATATACACACCATCCGTTGTACGACCATCCGGTTATACACATAGACTTTTGAGAAGGAGCTAGGTGTGCTTTTTAGTAGAGGAAATGCTGTTTGCACCACAGCACCGAACACACGATTTTTTTTTTTTTTTGCGTAGGGTTTAACAATATTCCCGTAGCCGAAAAGAGAGAACGAACGATACCGTGTTGATATTGATTCTAAAAACCGTGACTTAGGTTCATTGAAACAAAGTACTATGTCCGGTCTGCGCTTGTCCGATAAATCGGAAAATTTGTCTGGAGTGATTTGCTTGAATTTCCAAAGTCTATCGAAAATTATTTTATCAGGCAGGCGCATAGAAATTCAGTAGAAAGGACGTAGGACCGTACTTGATTAGATTCAAAATGGGTCGAGATAGATTGTTTCTTTTTTTTTTTTTGACAAAAAGTATGGAGAAAACTGACAGATTTTTAAATGTTTTCCAGACGAATTGGGCATCAACAAGGACAGATACAAGTCGCTCGCCGACGAGATGGACTCCACGTTCGCCGAACTGGCAGGATACTAAGCTATATCGTCCTTCTGTGCTTCGCTTAACGATCGAGATATCACGCGTGGGGATCGAACTGCGGATGCTTTGCATGAAGGACGACTTGGGGAATCATTCGACTCGTCGTCGCGAGATCAGCGAAAGAAGCTACGGGGGGAGGGAGCTGAGGATACGGGCCGTGGATTGGACGTTATTTATCTAAATTATACGACGAAGATGGTCAATGTACGATGGAGATCGTAAGGAATTTTACTCTGTTACACTGTTGTACCGAATATTACACGAGACCCAAATAAACTGCTGCAATGTGGTATGCGTTACTAATTAGACACGCTTTTGTAGATAATTTCATTTAAAGCAGAAAACAATTCGCACTCTGAAACCAGAGCTATCTCTTGATACAAACACCTTTGGTTTAATGATCTGGATCTGCTTTGTCCAGAGCAATGGGAGGTAAGTAGTAAAAAAAAGAAAACTAAAATGAAATGTGAAGTGCATAAGACGATCGGTTTCTCCGTCGATTGCTTCGTATGTAAAATCGCGTTATAGCCTCCGCTGATGCACCGATCCATGGATCCACGATATGCATATTGTATTTTACTATACGTCGTGATGTAGTTTTTGAGGCACAGTTATAAGAGACGTTTATTAGTCACCAAGGTACTTATTAAATGTACACTGAATGTATAAATGTACACCGAATGGCATATAAATTCAGGAGTACCGACACGTACTATCCTCGGGAGTCACGATTAATTATTATCTACACAAACCGTCACGGTTCCTTATCTACTATGTACAACTGATATAATCGTCGAGGAAATCTCGTCTCGCGCGCGAATTGTGCATATCTTTATACAACGCGCCAGCTTGTCTCGCGTGGTTCCCGTCGAATATATTTTCTATAAAAAGGTATTTTCGATGAATGTGCACTGCCGATCTACAAGACACGTATGTACGACACCCCACGGGGAACATAAAGCTGACTTTGGAACTCAAGCATGCAACAAACAAACAAACAAAAATATACAATTCTGTCGCTCGTGAAAACATGGATAATATCTACAAAACAAAAAAGACAAAATAGCACACACATCCAAAAATACGGACATCATATATACATATATATGTATATGTATGTATAAATATATATATATATATATGTATACATTATATAATATAACAATAAAAAAAACAAGGGACACGACAACACAAACATTCTGCTAGCAAATTTTTTTTCAGTTACGACCATATTCTCCCTGTTGATAAAACGTTAGAATTCCAGAGCATTTCGGCGCTACAGGCCTCAGTCGACTTTCATTCAAGTTCACGTTCATCTTTAAGCATTGCATTTTCCATAACTCAATGCTTAATAAAACATTCGGTTGCTCGATTAATACAACAAAAAATCTAGTGTACGCCTGTGTAAAAAGTCCGATTCCGAAGATCGTTAGAATCTTCAATTAATAAAACTGTATTACGACGATCTCTCGCACGCACAATTATTTCGCGACTATTCTAACAGTTTCCCCAACTAATTACTCCTAACATAATTTCTTTGTTTCGCGAGCATACGGTGCAAGAGGATGCTCCGATTGCTATCGAGATTGTGAATATCGTGCGAGATCGTCGAGAATTACAGTATGGAACTCCGATCTTGATCGTTTCACGAACTTGTTCTCGCGAAGAACATTCGAAAGATTTGTTTCTTTTTCTAATTATCGATTGATTACGATTCCCTCGTAACGTTATAAAAGAGTGTCAATATCACTACGAATTTTAGTGGCGACGAACAGAACGACACAATTGATCGACGTTTGGCTCCGTCGTCGCCCCGGTGTACGATTAATAAATAACGCGCTTGCAAAACTATACAGACTACCGCGGGTTATTTTCCATCTAATTGTACAATTCTCGTTATCTAAATAACGTTATCAAAAACCGTTAGGCTATTTGGTGTATCAATTGCACGCAAACGTCATGACCGTTCTGTGGCATTTTACAAACAGTAAACTGTACGGAAAACGGACGAAACGCACGGATACGAAAGCTTCTTCGGCCCGTTTTTTTGTTCACGACGATACACGAGAATAACATGCAGCACAGACACGGACCGGACACGTTCATAGTGATTTCGTCAGCGCGGTAGAATCATCAAGATGAAATGATATTATGACGCAGGTACGATCTTAATCGCAAAAACATATATTGTTTTGCCTATGAATTAACGATAATACGCGGCGCCTTGCGAAACACGCACGGATCTCCTCCATGCGACTGTCGTTTTCCTTTCAACTTGGCACACAAGACGTGGCAATCACCGTTGCGTTTACGCTACAAAATAGGTACCCAATTTTTTTTTTCTTTTAGTCATTCATCGAACCACCGTGACAGTGAATTTATAGGAATTCAATAGAGAGAGAGAAAAAAAAAGAATGGAACAGATAATCTTTATCGATAAAACTCACGTAACTGGACACCATTTACGTGCGAACAGATTGTAAATTATACGTCTAACTTGAGCGTAGTAAAATAATTATGTCGATACGTCGCTCAAATGATTTCAATGGATGGTACAAGATGCACAACATGGCTGTAGAGCTCGAAAAAAAAAAAAAAAAAAAAGTGTAGAAAAGTATCTTTTCTTTCCCTGATTAATGCGTTAGCTTACCCCTATGCAACTTATAACTTCAGCTTAATACTTACAAAATACTCTGTACAATGGTAAATAAGAAACACTATTTATCGGACACGCGTACACGGTGCCCCAAAATAATTTTGCAACCCACATGGATTCGTCGGACGCAAAATTCACGCCTCCCCCCCGCCCTTCCTCCCCGTGTATCGCTTGTATAATAATACAAAAGAAAATGATCGCCACGATCGTTCTTACATTAATTACGACACGTATGAAAATATCAATAAATATAAGGGTGTGTGTTCTTGATTCAAAGAGGATGAGAACCCTCACGTTACGTTTAAAATCCTCGCGAGATATCAAGAATATAATCTATGTTACAAGGCAATTGCGATGTATAGAATTTTCTTGAGAAAAAAAAAAAAAAAAAAAAAAACAACCCCGATTGCATCGTGAAAACTAAAGAGAGTAATCTTTTTTTTTCCTTACGGTGTGTATGTGTTATCTTTTTTTTCCTTTTTCCTTTTAATATTCACAATGTACAGGAAATCATAATATTCGAGAGTCTACATTAACAGTGAATAAATGCACTGTAGACCCATTTCCGAGAATTGTTTCCCTGATGAGAGAACAAAAAAAAACCGGTAAAAATCTCTATGTTACACAACGATGCAAAATGTACAATTCCCGATCTCTGTGCTTTATACAGATTATATGTATATACCATCTATGTACAAAATAACGTAAAAAGTAACAAGTGCTGGAAACGGTGTAAAAATGTGTAACAAAATAGGACTGTACTCGGTGACGAGGATGAAGGACCTGGACTTTAAAAAAAAAAAAAAGAAAAAGAAAAAGAAAAAACAACGATAAATCGTGTCTCGTTTTCGTTCGATTTCCATCAATGTGCATAAGATTATGCAAGTATTCCCCCCCCCCCTAACGATCACGATCTAGACAAATGCGCGGTCGATCAACGTAAAAACGAAAAAAAAAAAAACCAAAAAGCATGCGCACCCCAAATTTCAATTTCCTCGCTTTGCCGAGGAGGAGGTTGTATCCGCCACATTCTCCCTGGGGGTCTTATATATTACTTTTTCTCCTTTTTATATTCAAGTGAAAGTATTTCTCTTGTAAGCTCAGTAATAACTTAAGTGACTTATTACATAGAATAATAATATGTAAAATGAAGGTGAGAGAGAGAGAGAGAGAGAGAGAGAGAGAGAGAGAGAGAGAGAGAGAGAGAGATGCCACGGCATTTTAAGCTACAGACGGTCACGACGCGAAGAACTGTTGCAGACGTTGCACCGTTCTACGATCCAATGCGCACAGGTCGAAGTCGAACGTCTTCTTCGTGATCTCGTACTGACCGGTCTCCGCGATTACCTGAACAACTCTCTGCAGCTCTTGGTTGTCCTGCAGTGTCATTATCTTTTGCTGCAAGTCTTTCAACTGTGACACATAATCCTCCGAGAACACTGGCGGCTCTCCCATGTCCGACTCGACCAGGGTGCTGTTCGTCGAGTCTGGGGCCACTTGTTCCGCCTCGACTTCTGCTTTCTCGACCACCGGTTCTGTGGATCCTCGATCTTCCTTCTTGACGAGCAACGCCTGCTCCTGATCGACCGCTACTGGCGACTGACTCGAGGACACTGGCTCCAATGGCGGTGACGTGGAATGACCTCTGCTGTCCTTCTCCCGTTTCACCACGTGTTCGTCGTCCCCTTTGCTCTCGCTCCTTCGTTTCCTCTTGCGGATTTCCTTTTCCTCCCCCTTGTTACCTTTCGGTTTCTCTCTCTTGATACGATCGACCTTCTCCTTCTTGATTTCCATCGGTATCCCAGGCGAAGGAGGCTTCGCCATTTCTGTGGGTGGCGTGGACACCGTCACGGTCTCCACCTCTTTTTTAACGGCAGGCACTAGTTTCGGTTCGGAGAAGGAATCATCGTCCACGGACGGCGCGGAATCACTACTATCCCGTTCGGGTAATTCGGACAGAAGTGTTGACAGTGGATTCGCAACCGGCACATTAGGCACACTGTTCTGTTTTTCCGATGATGACTTTATCCTGTCACGTTTCTCTTTCTTGTCACGTTCTTTACTACTGTCGCGCTTGTCCTTCTTCTCCCTCTTCCTGTGCTTGTGCTTCTGCCTGTCTTTCTCGCTCTTGCCATCTTTTGGCTTATCGGACTTCTCGGGCTTCTCTGATTTCTCGATCTTCGATAGCTTTTCATCCTTTGGTTTCTCAGGCTCCTTCGGTGGCTTCGGCGATTTCCTACCGTCTTTCGTCGATTTGTACTCTTGACTCTTTTCTTTCTCAGGCTTCTCGGACTTCTCCGGCTTGTCGGTCTTCTTTTCAGTCACTTTCAGAACATCTTTTGAGGCGGACGATCGTTCACCCTCTTTGTGTTTGTCTTTTCGTTCTTTATCCCTGTCTTCCTTGTGCTTCTTTTTATCCTTTTTCTTCTCGTTCTTGGAAGAATCTGCTCTTCGAGCTGTCCTTCTTTTTATCTTTCTCCTTGCTCTTTTCCTTATCTTTCTCGGAGACTACTTTCTTCGGTTCCTTTTCCTTGGATTTTGGGGACACTGGTCTTTTCGCGGGTGGAAGAGGTGTGGGACTAGGTGGTCTTTTCAAAGAAACTGGGGACGGAGGTCGTTTGTTAGAAGGACTCGAATGACTTTTATTGCTTGGACTAGAAGGCCTTTTTGATTTCTCCTTGCTTCGATTCTTGTCCTTGGACTGGTCTTTGATTTTCTTCTCCTTTTTATCGTCTATCTTCTCTTTCTTACTGTCTTTGTGGGGGCTATCTTTGAGTTTCAACGGTTTGTCTACTTTCTCGGACTTCTCCGTGGTAACTACGGGTTTGGGAGCGGACGATTTTTCCGACTGCACCGACTTTTTCGTGTCCTGTGAGACTTTCGTCGGTTTCAGGGGTGTTCCAAACAGTTCAGCGAAAGAATTCGATGTCTTCGACTCCACAGTCTTGTGTTTTTTGGTCTCGCTGCCGCTTAACTTTGGTTTCCCGACCATAGTTGGAGTCTTGCTTTCACTTTTCTCAGCTGAATTTTCGATACTGGACACAATAACCTATTGGAGTAAACGGTTCTTGTGTGAGTAGTTTGTGTACAAGCTGCAAAAGAAGATGAATGATGTATACTTACACCACCACCCCTCAACAATTTCCTTTTAAATTCATCCGAGGAGGTGTTAATTATTTCAGTGTGCCGCATCACATTTGTAATAGCTGGACCACTGCCTTGTAAATGAAGATCATACAAAAGTTCAATCTTTTTGGTTCCCTCATCTTTGTTTTTTAAGTAGATATGAATGGGAATTTCGAAGCCAGCATAACCAGATTCTTTTATCTCGAATGGTGGTTCCTTCAATACTCTCTTTGGTTTTGAAAATGTTTCATGTAGTTGAAAAACCACTACAATATGAGGAATAATGCATTAAGAGATACACACTGAACATTTGAGACTAAGCAAACACTGTCCAAAATTGTAATTACCTTTCTCAACATAATGATGTATGTCAGCATTATCAACACCCCTCACAAATACTTCCCAATCATGAGTGTAACCCTGTGGGGTGGTACGTATACGTAACATGGATGAGTGCCCGCATTCTAACGTAATACGAATTGCCATTCTCTGATATAAAATTTTTCAAGTGTTCTTCTCCAAAGAAAATAGAAGGAGTTAATTGCCGCGGGTAAACAGAGAGATTTACATTACATTTTTATTTATCTCTGTGGACGTGAATGAAAGCACTGGTGAATCCTTAACTATCATGTCCATCACAAAGCATTTTTGACGTTGAAAACCATCGTCCAGCGACTTATGCTAGATGTACAAGCAATGACAGAACTTCTCTCCTAATTTTCGTACTCTTAAGATTCTGGTGCATCGTTTGGTTACACTTGTTCTGTATGAAAGTGTTAACCAATGCATTAGAACAGAATGGCGTGTCGAACGAGGAGTTTGCCAGAGGCGATTCGCCTCGTCAGAGTCGGAGTAATTCTATGGTTTTCTACGGGCTAAATTAGTTTCGATTATCAACAGGTAAACTTTACACCAACGAGAACTGGTCGCCATACTCGTTATTCCGTGTACTAGAACTTAAAAAAGTTCGTCCACCGCCATCTACTGGTGAACAATACTTCTTGGCAAAGTGTGCCAATACAAATGCTTGTTTTTGTACAATTTTGTCCAATCCTTGGTTGAATAGATGACACATTATTTATAATTAGAACACCGACTGCAATATTTGTGTGTTCACTTGTATTGGCGACACCGTAAGATCATATTATCTTCTCAGATATACTTGGAATCGTGCTTGGAACACTTGTTTCAAAGGTTTTTATTCTAAAATATATACAAAAATAATTCTGGAGCAGTTTTTATCGCATCGTTTCTCTATACATATTATGTTTAATTAATTATATCGTAGAGTATGTTTTGATAAATATCATTAACAAGTATTGTAAATATTTAAATAATATAATAATAGGCAATTATATTCGACTAATTTGTAAATAATTATATTGTATATGTTGTGTAATAAGAATCATTGTAATAATTGGAAGTTTTTAATTCCCAAAATATACAATAATATAGTAATAAGTAAGAGATGCATTTAATACAAAGTTTGAAACGCCCGTCATTGGTCATATAATACCTCAACATTTCGGTAGAGGATGCTCATGTCGTGTTAACAAAATAATGTATTGAGTGGACCTCCCTGGACCTCCCTGGATCTCCCCTGTTATATACTTATTCTAAGATCAATAACAATAAATAAATATACTGATGTACAGCCAACATTTATAATAATATACCATTAATAAATAAACATCGATCCTACTAGAAACAAATACTCTCTACTATTATGGTGGTAACAATACATTTCTGAGGAAAAAACAGTCTATTGTTGAATCTAAACCTGAAGACAGTCTTAGAATACTGTATTTGTTTATTAAAAAGCATGTTATCTACAATCGTAAAAGAGCACCAAAGTAAACAGGCAGCGAGGAAGGAGAGACAAGGTAACTTGTAAATTCTTATACAAAAGTAAGTTGAGTGAAATTATTGAAAAGTGTGTTGACAATATTGTTTTGACAGAACAAAAGAGAAAAGAAGCTGTCCAAGCAGCAAGTAACTTAACACAAGCCTTAGTTGATCATTTAAATGTAGGGTAAGTATCAAAATATCATTTAATTTATATTAGTGTATTCTAATATTTTATTAATAAAACACTCTGTAATATAGAGTCGCTCAAGCATATCTCAACCAGAAAAAATTGGATGCGGAAGCTAAACAGTTACAACATAGTGCAACAAATTTTGCTAAACAAACTCAGTCTTGGTTGACTTTAGTGGAATCATTTTCAAGTGCATTGAAGGAAATTGGTGATGCAGAAAACTGGGCACGTAGCATTGAAGGAGACATGAGAACTATTGCAACTGCCTTAGAATATTCTTATAAAGGTAAAAGGACTTTTTTACTACATTTGATAAAAATATGAATAAATCCATTGATATGTTTGCTTACAGCAACCCAAGAAGCGCAAGGAACCAGTGCTACATAAACATAACAGGAAGTGCAATCATAACATTTAAGATGCAATCTTTTCATTGTTGTAAAACTTTTCTTGTTTTGTGTTTATATTAATATCTGTTACAATAAACATGTTTTCTTATATTCGAAATTTATTTATTGAAGTGAAGACAAAAATTGGAGCTATCAGAGTGGGGCTACTAAATATTGGTAACAGCATTTTCCTAGTAATATATTTGATATCAGTGTTACCAATCCATACCACAGACGAGAATAGACCTATCACTGCCGAAAAAGTCTGTGATTTTAGCGACCTCTACATCATGAGAACGGTGCATTCGGGAATTCCATTGCATCCACTCGCGTAGTATCAGCCAATCAGCACCGACTAGTTGTATATAACCATACCTAACCCTGGCCGATAAATTAAGATAACTATTGATAACTATGGCAGCCGGTCCTATTGCAGAACGTAATCAAGGTAAATTCTGTCGATATATACGTGCCGTAGAGTACCGGCAATTCTTTAGGATTTTAATACAAAATTACGAAAATTTCGCTGATCTGATTATTATCTTCTAGAATAAGGAAACTAGAATATTAAGTTATGTTAGGTTACATGTATATAAACACTTCATTATTTAACAATTTTAAATAACATAGTCATTTCTTTTAGATGCTACCATATATGTGGGTGGTTTGGATGACAAAGTCACAGAATCCCTTATGTGGGAACTGTTTGTCCAATCAGGACCAGTGGGTATGTGATTAATATTGTTGGTAGCTTGATTACTTTACAATAATGAATTAAAATATAATTAATAACTTATTATTTCAGTCAATGTACACATGCCTAAAGACAGGGTGACCCAAATGCATCAGGGCTATGGATTTGTTGAGTTCATGGGTGAGGAGGATGCAGACTATGCTATTAAAATAATGAATATGATAAAATTATACGGAAAACCAATCAGAGTGAATAAAGCAAGTGCCCATCAAAAGAATCTGGATGTCGGGGCCAACATTTTTATTGGAAATCTTGATCCTGAAGTAGATGAAAAGTTGTTGTACGACACTTTCAGTGCATTTGGAGTAATTCTTCAAACACCCAAGGTACGCTTTGATAATCACTAATACACCTCCCGAAAATAAATAGCATACAATAAAACTTATTTCTGTTCTAGATAATGAGAGATCCTGAAACAGGAAATTCAAAGGGTTTTGCATTCATAAACTTTGCCTCATTTGATGCATCAGATGCAAGTATAGAAGCAATGAACGGTCAATATCTGTGCAACAGGCCCATTTCTGTGTCATACGCATTCAAGCGTGATGCCAAGGGAGAAAGACACGGCAGTGCAGCCGAGCGATTGCTGGCCGCTCAAAATCCTCTGAGCCAAGCAGACAGGCCTCATCAATTGTTCGCGGATGCACCTCCATTGGCACCGCCTCCAATGCCAAATGCAGGTCCAGCGGTTCATCAAGCCGCTCATCATCCACAGCATCACGTGATGCATCACGGAATGGTTGTTCCACCCCCGCCACCACCATCGACACCGGGACCACCGATGGGTCATCCTCCACCACCACCCGTTCCACCTCCACCATCGAGTGGTTTTCCACCATCCAGTATTCCTCCACCCCCGTTACCACCAATGTCAATGGCGGCTCATCCTCCTCTACCTCCTGGAATGCCACCCCCACTGCCACCAATGCCAGTACCGTCGTCTCAATCGCAACAGACGACGGCCAGGATGATGGCACCGCCCCCACCTCATTGGGGTGTCAGTGGTCCTCCTCAAGGTCAATTCCCACCGCCACCACCACCCTCATCAGCCGGAGGACCACATCCCCCACAATTCGGACAATTTCAACCTCCACCACCACGTCCTCCACCCGGTTGGAGACACCCACCGCCTCCTCCCGTGTCTCAAGGAGGCCCTCCACCACCCCCACCCCCGCAATTCCGACCACCCTTCCCACCAAGAGGTCCACCGCCTCCACCACCTCCGCACGATTCCAATCAATATTAAAATTAACATTCACTCGGACTACTGGCGTCTTGTCTTCGCTCACCTGCAACTGTAATATAACGATATTGACTGTGTTCATTATCTTTAACCTCGCCACAGGTTTTATAAACTGTAAAAACGTGTATTTCATAGCGGAATTTCGTAATAAATATCTGACTTGAGAATGAGTAGTGCCAGTTTCATTATAAACCACTGAAAACGAAATCGAGTGCAGGACACCATTTCATAGAGCTTCGAGGTTGTTTAGTTTATCGATCGGCGGTCGCGTGTGAATAAGGACATGCTAAGCTTGTTCTATCGATTATTTCAAGCCTATCCTGTCCAGTTGGTGATAACGCCGAACGGACAAATGAGTGGCGAAACAGTTGTCCTCGGGCACACCGTCGCGTTGAAAGGTTTCGCGTTGTTTCGCGAACGAGACGGGACGGAAAATAAAAATCGTGAACAGACGAGGAACGACTTGTGGGTGTGTTGGTCGCGTGTCACCAACCTGGTAAGTGAGGGGAACAGGTGTCTGGTGCGGTAAATTAAACGGCGCCGGCGGCGCTATGCATTCTGAAAATAACACGATTTTTTTAGATCGGTTCGTGACTCAATGCGGTAGCCGCTTCATCGATCCGTCCCCGTTGGTCCGTTGCTTTTTTAATGAAATTCAACCGTGCCCGACCGTGTTCGAAGTCCCGTTACGAAATTAATCCTTGACAATCGAAGAGGGGTGAATGATGACGAAAGCATGGCACGTCTGTATTACGAGTGCACCGCGGAACTAAGAAACAACACCGCAAACAATGAACCGATAAAACCTTATGCGTGCACGCCGGACAAATATTGCCTGTACTGTTGTTGCGACTCTCAGTGTTGCCTACTGATACAAAGACGGCCGCCACGACATTTTTGGGAAGCCTGGTACTTCTGGCTAGGCGTTGCGTTACTCGCTGTATTTATCGTATCTTCGGTAAGCGATCACTAATAAATCGACATTCTGGTAGCATAAAACGATAGTTGAAAGCCACTTTGTTTCGCGTTCACTTCAAAATCACCCCGATTCTGTCTCTTCTGTGCATGTATACGATGTAGCTGTCTTCGTGTAATTTCTTCACGATCGTCGATTTTCAAAGGGTCTTTTTGATTCGTTTTTTTTTTTGGGACCAGGTGAGCAGCTACATTGTCAGTAATTGCAGACATAATATTCAAGGTGTACCACTAACACACAACGCGCACGCAAACAGACGAAACGACCGCGGCAGCCGGCCGGGTAGCAACCAGAACGAGATATCGATAAGTATAATCCCGACATCGGAGTTTTTCCCGTCGCACAGAAAAATGTTCGTAATCGCCTCTCAGCCGGCCGTCAATCACTTAAGTGAGTATATATATTTTCATAACATCCATAAACATTATTCTCGCCAATGAAATTTCTCAGTTCTAATCGACGATAAATCGCACCGTTTAACCCGTGACATTTCATCCTCCACTGAATATTCAGGGATGATTTAGTAAAGATTATGTGTTTACGCTTCGAAACGTGACGAAACAGATCTGGTAAAACTAGTTCGAATAGAAACGAAAAAAAGAAATCGCATTCAGGATTCGATTAAATTCCGGGATAAAGATTGATGATAATTCATAGAATCTCGAGCAATAATAACGGTACCCGTGCATTGATTTATATTGCAGCGCCTGTCGTCGCGTGAAGTCGTTTCGTCTCGGCGGAGATTATGTCGGTGAGGGGACATCGATGGAAAGACCTCGAAGATCATCGTCGTGTACCATTTTGCACGGTAATGTCCCCTGGAAGACACCGTGCGGTTCGTCAGAGCTTTGATCCAACAGAGGATCGTCGCATCGTCATTATGGCGAGGGGAACATTCACGTGAAACGCGTCTTTTTACCCTGCCTCTGGCCATAATAACCGGTAACGGATGAAACAGGCCTGCTCACGGCTAAAACATTCTGAACAGATGAGAAGGGATTTTAATCGAAATCATGGGCACCGTCCACGATCGCTTTGTAGCTTGTTGCACGGTTAAACTATACGCACCCTATGAAAACGCAGGTGATTAAAGATCGACGAACAGGGCCCGATCTACCACTTCCGCCGCTCTGGGCCAAAATGATTTTTCCCGACTTTTATATCTAATTATTCAATTTTATTTCAATTATTACCATTAATGAAGACCCTTTTTATACAAAAGTTTAACAATATCATCGTATGATACTACGTATAGTAGTTTTACGTATACATGTGATTCCTACAGTATTCGGTAGTTTTGATCTTCTCAAAAAGTTTTACTCTTTCATTGGTTTCTATTGATTTTAATTTTCCCTTCCAAACAATTTTACCGCTCTGGAAAGTTACCGCGCAGATCGGGCCCTATCGACGAACAAAATGGTTGTCAACACCGCCAACGTTCGTACGAAAAAATGCTTCCTCCATTTCCCTAAATTCGGATCGGTAAAATTCATGGTATTGTGGAGTGAACAACTATTATTGTTCGTCGGTGTGATTCAATGTCTTTCAATTCCTGTGGACCGATTAAGCAAAAAAAAAAAATAAATAAATAAATAAAGAAACAGAAGAAAGGAATCCGGGGACCAACGATTCGCGTTAATGTTCGCCGAGTACAAATCGCAGATCGGAATTGATTAGGTCTAAGTCGTTTCGGCACATCTGAACACCGGTCCAGCATTCAGAATTTTCTGCCCGAATGTTTCCGAGCGTGGAGCCGGTCGGTTCCGATCGAAACTCGTTCCCGAGGACTCGAATGGGCTCGGGGGGGGGGGGGGGGGAGGGGGCTAATTAAAAAGGACAATCGAGGCGAATGCAACCGAACGCGACGTGCACTCCCTTCGTGCTTCTCGCGAATTTCCGTCCGTCCCTTTCCTCCTTGTATCGTTCCATGCTCTTCGTCTTCCCTTTCGGTCTTGCTCGCTATTCGCCTCCCCATCTATCGAGATCGATCCCGCGATAACGTTTAATCGCGACGATCTTCCGCGCGGAGATAAAAACCGGGAGAGAAACCTCGGGCGTTTGTCGAGCCGCTGATAATGTTGCGATTACACGATTTTGATCGGGCTCGAATGGGATTTTTTGAATTCTACTACGTGGATCCTCGAGGATCGATCGAGTGGATCGATTGCTGCTAGATGGGTGACGTTGCACACTGTGCCTGTGTTAAGTTCAGGATTGTGAATGTACTATGTACAGTAAATCTTCGATTAACGCTCGAAACTCGGGACCGCTTTGAAGCAATTATCGCAGAGGCACACGATTTCTGTACTTCACGAATTGTCGCTTAATGAACAGCGTTTTGAGGCTAGATTCCTGTTTGGAACCCTCCGTTAAAGGGGATGAAGCAGAAGTGTTTAACGTAGATATCCTTCCGAGTTATCGAGAATTTACTGTATTATGTTAATTTGTCCGATCGTTCGATATATTCTGTCTATGCAATTACTGGCTGTGATGATGTCAATTCAAAAATAGATATCGATCGCAATATGTATATACAATGTGTCGTCACCGTTTCAACAAGTTGCTCGGAGTCTTAGTAAGTCGTACCGCCGACACTTCACCAGGGTCGAGGTGCTAAATTAATATGCACCGAAAGAAAAAGCAAATACACGTTTGACATTTCGCACGAGTGTGTCTAAGTGTATGTGTCTGTAATTAGTTTGCGTAGGATGAGAGTGGAAAATTGTGTTACATTAACATGGGGATTCGCTCGGTAGCCACGGCGATCCGGAAAAAACTCGACAAAACATGGGATTCAGGTGTGCCGGTGGTGTTTGGTATCACGCGTATGTGCCTTGCTTTTTATTTCCCTAGAATACCCACGCTACAATGCGCTCGCTCGAGACACCCATTTCATCGGCCCTGAAACCTTTTTACATCTGGGAAACTCTCACGACAAAGTCGTTGAATTTCATTCACGTGTAATGCTACACAGTCGTCCGTAGAAGTAGTGGAGGGGCTATAGACCCAGGCCCCACTTTCAGGTGGGTCCCCGATCTGAGCCTTCCGTTTATGTAAAAAAATAATTGAATGAAATTCTGATTACTGTCTCCCTTTTGAAATAATAAAAAATTGTATTAAATGTAGAAGTACATCGGATCAAAGTTCTTAAAATATAACAAGCATTCGTTATAATCAAGCGTTTGTTAGGATTAAATGATATTTAATTTTACTTAAAATAAATTTAAATTTTTGAAGATTTATATATTTTATTGTATGTTGCATTGCAATAATTTTGTGCCCCTCCACCAGCGCTTTTCAACCAAGGGGGCCCTGGAAGGTTTTAGTTGTGATCTCGAGCGTGCACATTTGACAGGTAAAAAAAAAAGTAATCGACACCGGAGGGATAACTTCGGTCCAGAACTCATCGATGGATCGCGTTGAATCGCGAGCACGTCAATTCGATCCGGGGATCGGTCCACGCGACCGATGTGTACATGTACACGATATATAGCATTTCAATAAATTAGCCGCGTGAAAGAAATCCTTGTGCTCCCTGCGTAAATCTTTTTACGTCACTCTGGCCACTCGAGACGGCAGCGTGCAATAAGAAGCGGTACGGGAGCAGACTGTGCCGGCGACCTCGTTCGACTGTAACGAAGTGTCATTCCGATAACCCAGGCCAGCTTTTACTGTCACTCGACAGACGACGATAAAGAAATGTGTAACCAGCCGAGGCTCTGCTTAATGTTGCTGCCATGGACAGGAAACCGACCGGGGAATTAAACTCTCGGGGTCTGCGTTGCTGACTTCTGATTAAGACATTCGACTCGATCGCGAACCGATCCGCGGCGTGCAAGAAAATTACAGTGAATCATCGGTGAATGCTCGATGGCTCTTGGGCATTGAACATTAAATATTTCATAAACTAATGGTCATATGAAACAAATCATTGGGTTCCTAAATCCTAATTGAAAAGTTACACCTGGGAACCTCTTGTCAGTAGCCTTCGAACACTCACCAAGGATTTACTGTATAGTATTCTTTTTACGCCCTTGTCGATTCGTCGCCGTGACTCCGCGGCGTATACGTATAACGTTTATCGAAGAAAGACGAAAATAGTGTATATTTCTTCTTCTTCCAAAGCGTATCTATTCCACGTTCGTGAACTCAGTCTCCCGTTTTGCTGGCTGTCATGGATCGGTTACATCTGGACGGTCCGAAATATATCAACGAGAGATACGAACGAGCTTATAGTCTAGACGTTATTGTTCCAATAAATCGGTCGAATTTAGAGGATTTTCTGCGACGACGAGGGCTTCTTTGCAAAAAGAAAGAAAATATGTCGCTGGAATCCTTTGAAAGCGCGACGACAGGGATGAAAAGAAACGCGGGTTAATAAAATGAATAGAGAGGACTGACAAGTGAAAGAACGTTGTGTAAGTGGGTTACTATTGGGATACAGAAATCAATTGTTAGAAAATTGAAATTTCAGACAATTTTACTATCGAATAGAATCTTTGATTGGTCAGTGTGATGCAGGATGCAGCGAGGATTCCCAATTGGTCCACGCTCAGAAGCTCTCTCCATCTGGAAGTCGTCTAACGTGCATCCCCCGGCTGCGTAAACGCGTACACGAATCCGTGGTGTTGTTCCAATAAATCGGTCCGCTTTAAGAGACCTCGAGAAGCGGCGCAAAAAGACCAACAAGATCCACGGCGAAAGCGCGAATAAATTGCGAACACGGGGGTGGGACGGACGAGAATTACGCCGACTGGCGGTGAGAGAGCGTAAAAAAGCGAAGGACAAAAGCAATTAGTCGCCTGCGATAAGCGCGCGTAAGTCCGTATTTGCGACTAACATCTGTACCACGATTTTTCTCCTACTTCACCGAAAGTATATTCTTGTCACCAAGAAACTTTGCAGGATTAGTCTGTCCAACGATACAAAGAACAATCAATTCTTTGAGTTCTTGTTTATATCTGAAATTCTTCCAACTTTATTGTACAGTAAATCATCGATGAGCGTTCGAAGACTCCTCGGCACTGAACATTAAATATTTCGTAAACTAATGGCCATGTGCGGCTGAAATAAACATCATAGGATTCAGAATTCCAAGCTCTATCGCTGTTCTAAATCTGATTAAAAGGCAACGTTACACCTGGGGACTAGGTATGGACAAATTCATTAAAAATAAAATCTAGATAAAAAATTTTACTAGATTTAAAATTTTACCCAACTCTGCTAGGGACCTCTCCATGTCAGTGTCGAGAAGCCTTCGAGCACACATCGATGATATACTGTATTTAGAAAACTAATGGTGATCGTGTCTGTTAAAACACGTTTTGATCTTATCGATTCTATCGTTACGAATTCCTTTTCTTTGGTTTCCTTCGCCGACGAGTGTTGTTGGTGCATCAAGATGGAAAAGAGGACGATCGGTAGCCGAAAAAGAAATTTCCTCGATGGAGGGGGGCCATTATGTGTCGGCCAGGCGACAAAGCTATGCGACGAAACAAATGTCACCACCGATGACGGAATTAAAATAGATATAGACGTAAATTCGTGATGTGGCACGGGAAAAAGAGAGAGAGAGGAGAGATAGAGAAGTGGAAACCGAGCGTAGCCGACGCGTCAAGCAAAGAGAAAGAGAAGGACGGGTTCCTCTTTCCAGTGGGAGGTACTAAAATTAGAGAAGCCCACGCGGGTAACTGTGTTCTTCTTGAAGCTTCCTTCAGACATTTTCAAATAGTCCTTTACGCCGATAACACGGTCCGTGTTTTCGCGAACGTCTCCGTTGTCAGTCGCCGCGTCTCGGCGCCGTGATTCTGTGTGTTCGATTTCGATTGGCTTTTGCGAGTGACTGCCCACCGGAGAGACCCGTCTCGCCTCCTTGGAATCCATTCAACGTTCCAGAACGACCCGAGATATTCCAACTGGCAACCGACGATCGTTCGTTTCTTATTGACGATTGAAATTATTGTTATCGGGACACGGTACCGATTATTCGCAGAAATTATTCTAGCAAACGATATACATACTCTTCTCTTCACTGTTTATATTCGAACACCGCACAGTGGTCCAGAAATCAAACGTACCCGTGCAAATGGTCAAAAACAAATTTGATTTTATTTTCTTTAATTCTCTTAAATCTCACATCAACTGATTACTAACCATAGAAGATTTTTGTTATTGTTCTTCCCAGACCCCTTCAAATCAATCGAAAATAGGAAAAGATTCCCTACAATTTCACACTTTCATGGAGATGTTGAAAACACTGTTATAGTGATCGAAGGGGATCCCTAGAATTACTAAAAAATTTCCTCGTGTATGTACCGCCACTGAAGTAAAATTGTAAGTTACAACGTTTTTTATTGTTCGAGCTAAATTAAGTGTATAAGCTGCTAAATTTTGATTCTGGACCACTGTGCACCGAGTGGTTTCGAGGACAATCATTCGCAAATATGGGGGGAGTCAAGTGTCCGGGACCTTTCTTGCTGTTAATCGAGTCATCTTCATTGGAAACGCTTCTGCATTACAGGCTGGCCTTTCAAGATGACATTATATATTCCTGTCCTCTGCACGCGTTCCAAGTGTCACTCGTGCAGATAGAAACCCGAACCTGCTTTTCACCGTCGATTCCCTTATCAATGAAACTGTCCCAGCCGGAATATCGTGGCGTTAAGTGATTCCTGGTCGGTTCGTTTCATTATTGAGAAAGCTTCGTTGATTTCTGTGGCGGTCGATTCCGTGAAAGCTTCGGCATGCATTCCGATCGATCAAGCTTCGAGCCGGTAATCTGCATACATATCCTCCTGATGCTTCTGGTTTTTCTATCGAGGAGCATCGAGCCAGTCGAAGGTAAGTGGTCCGGATTTTATATAGTGAGAAAAGTTACGAAATCTTTAATGACATAAATAAAGAGAAATGAATGATCGGTGCAGGCGTGTCGGAGACACGCGAACTTGTTTTGCGTTAAACGTCGAGGAATTTGTTGATATTTCCAGTCAGAAGTAGATGGGATAAAGTACTTATACTGGATAGTTTCGAACGTTTCATGAATACTTCGCAAGAGGAAATCAATACTTTTAAGTAGACTCGAACCCAAATGGAAAAAGGTTCGAACCAAGTATACTCGAACTCTGGCCGAGTAGATTTGAACCTTTTATGAGTACTTCGGTCAGTTACTCTCTATTCTTTGCAATTGTATGTAGTTTAGCTAAAATTATATATAAATAGTCCAAATTTCATTTATTTACCCTCACTGAAACTTTAATGCTTCTGAATAGTAATCGAAACCCATGAAACTTGGTTAGTGAAATTCACTGGGATTCGTAAATACATATTGAACTTGATCCTATCCCTAGCCAGAAGGTGCGTGTGCACCAGCAAAGCCTGCAAGGAAGCCGGAGTGGACACGTGTAAGACGAAATTTTCCTGTTACACGGAGCTGATATTGACCGGGGATCAAGAATTCGGCGAGAACACCACAACTAGGGGATGCACGGAGTTAGTATTCTATAATAAATAATCATTGATAAAACGTTTCGCGTAGAACTTGGTATGGGAACGGTACCAGCAAGCCTGTATCTTCGTTGAAAGAGTAACTACTCTGACCTCTAACCTTTTTCTGTTATTCACCAATAAATTCCAACGGTACGAGCCGAGTTGCCTCGAAAACGATTTAATTTCGCCGGATCCAACGATTGACGTACCCGCCTATAAATTCACTCACCGTTTCTACGCCAGCTGGATAACCTTGACGAGATAATCGGGCTCCGAAAGGTTTTCACGAATTCCATCCGAGCGACCGCCTCGAAGAAACGAGGAGATATCGTCACAAGCCGCTTTTCAACGCTGAAACCCAGTTAAACGAGTCTTTAATTCTGCTAATTAAAGAAACGGAAATAATAAAATCAGAGTATTATCGGGAGAGATAACGGAATATCAATTACCAGATTACCGTGAAGAAGAGAAATTAATTTTTGACGAGCGATAGGAATAGTTTGTTTCGCAAACAACACGGATGAACCGACAGTTTTTTTTGTTCGATTCCGTCTTGCTTGTCCCTGTTATATGTATATGTATTATCGTTCAGAAGCGATCGATTCTCTTCGAGTCGTAGCGGCGCGACGGCCGGCGCACAGTGGGACGATACGTATAAAAACTGCGACATGGACGATAATTTTAAGTTCGGATGGCGACTTTATTAACTATCTCGATATAGACCTTGGACATTAAGGAACAAGGAACTGCAAAGAAAACATTATTTTAAGCGATGTAAACCCCAATTTTTTTATGATTTGTTCGTACACTTTTCGATCCACCTATTCTTCGAATTGAAATATCTAATATTCAAATCTAACAGAATTTATTTCATTTATATCAATCATTAAAATTATGTTTCTCAATATATCATTCGATACGTTAACAATGATCTTTTGAAAAAATTCTTTTCATGGTTGGATTCTTCATTCAAAGACAAATAAAATTTTTTTCAAAAATTCGATAAAGATATGATTCGTCGTTTAGACGAAAGTTGAACCACCAGAGATTTATCTGTTTCATCACACTGTGCGACGCAGCGGTTCGATAGGCGAGATATAAGTATCGAAATCTCCAGCGGTCATAAATCGCGCGCGAAACTCGTTTATTTAAATCCCGACTATCGTCGGGGTCACGGAACTTTATCGTGCCCAGGGGGGGAGCCCCCGGTTTTATCGGTCTGTTGTGCGTTTTGCCGTTTGTTCAGGGGTGCCACGCCATTGTTGTGCGAGACAAAGTCCTGGGTCACGAGGTCGAAGTCGACCGACAACGTGGACCGATCGTCGTCGTCGCCCGCCTGGATCCGTATGCCCTGGCCCAGATTGAAGTGTTGCGACAGCCACGACTACTGCAACGCCGATCACCACGTGAACGTGTCCACGTGGATCCACGACAAAGACAGCCCGGATCCCATCGAGACCACTTTAGACTACGCCGGTAAAACAAACCCTGCTGCTACCTTCTTTCGTAATCGAGGGATCTACAAACCATCCCATGGTATCCTCGCAGCTTGTCGACATATTCGACTCGAGACCCACGCTTTCGATCACGATCAAACGAGTTCCCACTGGTGATTTTAATGGCTTGTCGAGAAAAGTAGAAGCTTTCGACCAGAAATCGACAATGCATACCTTGTTCGACTAACACTTTATAAAACTTGCACCTGACATCATGGGCGTAGCCAGGTAATCAAAGCGGGCAAAAATATTAACACATCGACTGCCACAGTGAAAAAGGTTGTACGTAGTCAGACACACTTTATTTTGTTTTTGAAGTCATAAATCATTGAAAATGTATGCGTTTTGTTAATAGAGGCTGTTGGTCGTGTTTCAAATTATACTGCAATATTAAATATTACGAGAAATTTTGTAACTCTGGGAAGGGAGGAGGGAGGGGGCAAAATTCAATTTTTTTCTTGTAGTGTAGGGCAAATGCCACTTTTTTCCGTTAAGGGGGGAGGGGCAAATATATAAAATATATAAATTGCAAATGTGACACTGCGAACTCTTACTGTACTTGTTTCAAATTTTTTTGGTACTTGTATATGCAGTTTCAATATTGACAGATTTGTACACTAATGAAGACTTATCCTCGTTTATCCTTATCATCTGTCTTAATAAAGATGATATATTAAAAAGAAAAAATTTGTCTACCGATAGCTGTCGATTATTCGGACTACTCTATCCGAAGTCGCGATTTTATAAACCTGTAGAAATTCCAGACTCTTTAATGTTTGAGGTACACACATGGGAAGAATGGACTAGCTCGAAGGATGTGTTTTATGTTAAGGCTCTCTTAATGGGCTATCGTCGCATCGGGACATAATGGGATCGATCCAGCCCGATCCAGGGCCGACCGCCGGAGGTCAGGAATCGTCCGATCAGCTTCTTCAGAGCCGCGTTAAGCCGCTCCACGTCGCCGCCCTGGTGTTGGCGATCGCTGCCCTGATATCGGTCCTGGCAGCCTGTTACGTTATTACAAGGTCTGCGAATTTTTATTATCACGTCTACCGTAAAGTCTTCTCGCGGAAATCGCGTGCGCGGCCTTTCGCAAGAAAGGCGTCCGGCGTCTCACGTAACGAGTTTTTACCGTTTCGCGTTTGCACGCCGCGAAGGAAAACAACGCTAGCAAAAGACACTTCAATAAAACGTGAGTTTTACGATGCCGTGCACGTTCCACGGCACCGCACACCTCTCTCGCGCTACCAAGGAAGGGGACATTTTTTTTTTTTTTTCATTTCTGACGTACTGCCAGAAATGTTTTTGACTTTTTCCCGGTGTGCGTGCGTGTCTGTGTGTTCCTCCGTTCATTTATAAACAAGAAATATTTAATCCCTGCCTCGTGTTTTCATCTTCACGACTTTTTTATTTTTATATTTTTCTTTCGACAACACGTTCGGATCGATTGCCAGGAATATATTTGTCTTTGCGAATTCTTTATTAAAAAGGGGAATAACATTGATATGTACATAAGTTTGTAATTGTAATTGCTTGGCATTGCTCGCTGGCATGGCCCAGGGATGCCAGACTGTTCCTCCGGTAAATCGATTCGCGTGACGGTCTCGGCCGAAATTCACGATCAACGAAATTTTCCGATTCGTTCGTGGTGTATAGGGTGAAGTAAATTTTGCTTTCTGAAAGAAAATTTGAATTCTGCTCGTGCCAGAAAAATCTTACCGAATAACAGTATGCTCGTGAGCGGAGATATATCTTAATTATTCGACGTATTTTCTCGCATTGTCCGTCGCGAAGTCATTCGATAACGTAACGTAATGAAAAATCTTGTACCAATATTGCGACGATCGATCCAGTAACTCACGCCTCGAAAATCAATACAGCGGTAAATCCAAGATAGCTCGGTCGAACAGGTCGGACTTGACATATCGCAGATATTAAAACGAAAAGTTCCGTATTGCCGATCTGATAAGAATGGCACGTGCGACGTGATGTCCCCCTCGTTTTGATGTTACCACGTCGTTTAACGATCAATTCCTATGCAGGGTGAAACAAAAAAGGATTCGCAACTGGTACTTATCAAATAATGAAAAAAAATTAATTTTTTCAAAGTCATAAACAATTTTTTTCGGTTAAATCGAGTGACTTTGTTGCTTCGTGAGATATCGTACAGTATGCAAGCAATGACAAAAATTGTAGAAAACCTCCTGTAATCAGGAAAAGAAGAAATGATAAGGTAATCCATTGGTTCCATACGGTACGATAGCCCCCAAAGCGAGAAAGTCAGTCGTTTTAATCGCAAAAAATTGTTTATTACTTGGAAAATATTACTTTTTCGCCAACTCTTCGTTCTCGACTTTTTTATTGACTGGTCACGTTTTTCGTTTTCCGTGGCCGATTTCAGGCCGGTTTTTGTCGCGGCGCATTAAAAGCCGGCGCACAACTGGTCGCCTCTTATCAGGGCCAGCTCTTCAGAGGGATCCTTTCGAAACAGATAGCGGGGCCCAATGGGGGTCTACCCTCTAATCTTCGGGCCCCCGAACGGTTAAGTGGGTTTTCGAGTTCGGGAATGTCCCGTCGATCGGACCGTCCACCTTCCTTCGTGGACGTGTTGCTTTCCTTTCCTTCTTTCTTTATCTCACCTCCGAGCGTGTATTTTCGAGTGTCCCCTCGAAGGAGGAACGGGAGGGGCCTGGCGGAAGAGTGCTGACGTTCCTTTTTCACGATTTCTTCGTGTTTCACACGGTCCCCGCCGACAGGGCCTTTAATGTGGGCGCGCGTTTCTATCTGCCGCGTGTAATGACGTTGCCTTGTCACGAGGATAACGGTGGCCGTCCGTGGATACGTCCCAAGGGGTCCCCCTCTCCTTTATCGCAGGAACGCTCGCCTCTCGGAGTGGAAAATAGAGGTGAATTTAGGATAAGGGACACGAACTGATAATCCAGAGTGTACGTACAATACATTTCGGTGAATCGCTGCGTCTCTGACTTGCTGTTTATCGCGGGATATTTTTGGATCGAGCCCGTCGTGTGCATCGAGAACTTTACGGAGGACTTGTAGAATTCTCCGTTCGAACGAGAGTTTCAGTCTCTTTGGTTAATTTCTAGGTTCCTCAAGACGAATCCGTACACGATCGGAAGTGTGGAATAACGCGGGCTCTTCTACCGTCTTATGATTCCTCGAGGTTCAATGGGTCTTTCACACCCTGTCACCGGCCGAGCCAAACGAGTTGGGTGAGTATCGATTTTGCGGACTAGTCAGTTCCGTGGAAGCCAGAAATCGTATCAATCGTGTAGTATTCGACTCGGTGTGTAACGTGAAATCACGATGTAGATACACAGCGGACGTTAATGTTGAAATGCTTGAATTTACATCGAGCTCGAGCACGACGAGCGTTCGCCTGTACACGGCTACTTTCCGGCTTAATTGTATGCCCCTGATCGACTAACGAACGTGAAATATAAATAGAAACAGGCCGAGCAAGAGATAACTGCCGCCGACAGGCTAAACGAGTCTGGATCGAAGAGATTTTTGTCGTGGTCACTGCCACAGACAGCTTTCGAGTTTTGCTAGCCAGTAGCACAAGGAGATTAGAGACGGCAACTGATACCGATCACATGAATAATAACGACGAAATAACATCTGAACTATTGAAACGATAACTCCGTTATTCTGTTTCTTTTGATCGACGAATTGTTTTGTTTATCCAGGGTGATGGATGCACGTGGTGCCGAATGGATCCACAAAAACGTGGGATGTCCGGTGGAGTTTCGACAGTCATCGGATGCATGACAGGGCCGCATCGAGGGACAGAGTTGTCCAGCAAACAAGTTGGAATCTTTTGTTTCGAGTATGACTAACATCGGACACGATGCCTGCTCGAGAACCCCGTCAGCCTGGTTATACACGGGCACCAAACCAGGTGCTTCGGTTGTTTCCAACGTAATTAGTCATCCTTAAAGCTCGTGTACCAGACAGGAGGATGAAACAAACATCGAGAGAGAAAAAGAGAGAGAATGTCGAAGACTACACACGCACACAGAAATACTGATAAGTTGGACACTTCAGGGCGAGTCGAGCGTTCTGTTCCGGACGTAAGAGCGCCATAACGGCTGGAAAGTAAATTTCAACGGTGGCCGAAGAACCGTCGATGGCCCCTGCACACAGTGTGCACATCGGACTCGATAAGATAACGTGTGTGTACGGCAAACTGCATTCCCGTTTAGACGTTTTATGTATTTTATTTACGATTCTATACATATAGAATATTTCGTTGGTATAGAGAAAAACGGTTCGTCAGGTATATGTAAATTATCGGGTTCACTTTATGATATTAATTAATAACGTGTACATAATCATAGGATATACAAAAACGTTCTTGATCGCAAATTGATCGATTTTGCCCGTCGTTAAATTGTTTTACGATTGACAACACGTTGTCAGAGGAAGTTTCTTTTTTGTTTTTTCTAATGTCTTCAATCATATGACGACTGACGGGCCTTAGTCATGCCGGCTGGAACCATGACAAACAATACTCGTATTCCATTGGGTATAGCCCTGAGAAACTAACCAACCAGCCAGCCATAACCAGGTGCTCGTCGGGACCAGCTTCAGGATCTACCTCTTGACCACCGCATTCGTTGCGCCCGACGAGAATCAATCACTCCTCTAAACATATGGGCTCGATCCCTAGGTAGATACTCGTCCCCCCACTTCGATCAGACGAACGACCAAATATCTCAGATGTATATCTGAGGCTTGTCTAACTGGTTCATCCACGAGCCACTAACAAGACGTTTCTCTCCTTCGTTCGTGGTTCCTTATTTATTTTTTGTCATTGTTTGTAAGTTCAGTACCCTACGATTTCACGACATATACACGCGTATTACGTCCTATCTGTAATCCTGGGATTGTATAATAGGCACGCAATGCGCTTAATACATATTAATCCATTAACAGTTTATCCCGACTGAGATTCAGGCACGGCGAATTTATCATACATGACATAATTATCAACCCTTATAGTACCTTATAAGTTCTCCAGGTACCGTTCAAAAATACCATGAAAAATTTACGATTTTTGAAGTATCTATTAAAATTAATACATTTCTCTTAAAAATGAAGATATTTTCACGTTCTCTTTTTAATTTTATTATTCCTATCCAGTAAACGCATGTTCCACTATATAAACTTATTTTATAGTGAGATACATCTGCATAAGGTATTTTTCAGGAAACCCACAAAGTCGATATATCGGCTCTAAGATACTAAAAGGGTTAAAAAGATACGTGCGAAATATGTTCGTTTACATATTTTATCATGGGTAAAATTAGTTTAGTAAATAAAAATTAGGCACGTTCCTTGCCACATATCGTTATGCTATTCGACTGTTAATGGGTTAAACGATATTTTCTCAATGGTCGATTCGGAATCGAGATATTGTACGGTCGGTATCGTCTGTACCGAGTGTCGACGAACCCTTTTCTCGTTAGATACACGGTCTTTGTCTTCGCCGTTATCTTCTGCTTAACGGAGGACAGAAAAGCAGAGAAAACGAGACTGCAAAATCGTGTCTTACCCGTAAAATTTTATCGTTTCGACTCGCGACGACGACTACGACGAAGCCTCGTGAACACGCAGGTTCGAGCTTACCGAATAATATCGGCAAGACGATCGTGCCAGCGTGCATATTTCATTTGGCAAAGTGTTCGCGAACGGGCACTCAACGTCGCACTCGCGTCACACCGGATCGAATTATCCCGCGGCGAAGTGTCCGAAGTCTCGCGGGAAAGGGTGGAGGGGAGGGAGGCAAAACGACGATGCATTATCTCGAGTAAGAAATAAGCAAAAATAGGGAGCACCGACGTGGCGCCAAGGAGTTAATAGCTAATTGGCTAATGCCCGGCTAAAAATAAGGCGGCGTGCCGCCGACTTTGAAACGCTTGTATCCGAACGTGCATATCGGTGCCGATAGTAAATTCGCGAGCGAACTTGGCTTCCGCTAGGGAGAAAAACACTGAGGAGCAACACTTGGTCTGGGAAGATACTGCAAATGCCAAACTAGCTTTTTCAGTTGACACGATTTTTGGTAAAATTATTATTTAAAACAGAATGTTTAAATTGAATTGTGAAAAAAGAAAATAAAAAAAATTAAATTATCTCTGTTTATTTGGACACGTTTTCGCCCCATGGAATTTCAGAAAATTGTGAAATTGTGAATAAGTATCATTTTAAAGTAAAAAGCAGTGGGATATTTTGTCGGGACTAAGGGATAGTAAAGATTTCCAGAAAATACATTTTATCCGTTTTCACCCCTCTAGGGGGTTACACGATCCCTAAAATTTCATGTTCCTAGGTTAAACGATAAGAGCTAGGCGTTGATGAATCAGTCAGTTTAACATTTATTTCAATACTTGAAATAAATTTACCAAATGGTAGAAAGCCCTTCCCCTACGTATTCTTATTCCCCTAGCGGAAGCCAAGTTTGTTTGACACTGTACATATATAATACGTTCCCTTCGTGGTTCCCCGAAAGGTAGTTGATGGATGAGTAGAAATTACGTGTTTGCGTGGACTCCAAGGGTTTTCGAAAGGATTCACGATCTTGGGATAAAAACGTGTACCCTGTCCTAAGGAATAAAAGAACAACGTGCTACGAGTATGATTAGTCTGTCCGTTGGACGAGAGACGCACGAGAACTCCTTTCCTGGAATCCACTTAAGCAACGAATTGGCCGAGCGTACGGTTAATACGTGTCTCCTCACCTGTTATATTCGCGTCACCGCAGCAACCGGTCGATCCATCCGGTTGATCCCTACCTGTCCAAGTCTTCGATCTCTGCCGTGGAACGAAAGTAAGAGATCCTCGCTAGGCATGTGAAAACGGGGCCCAACGAGAGCCACGCGTATGTATAATGCGGGGCCTGGTGGCTGAATGGGGAAACCGATTATCGGGACAAAGGGTGACGATTTATCTTGTTCCCTTTCGGAACGTGTTCACGGTCCTATTATATCGGTAAACAATCCTGCGAACCTACTACCATCAATATTTCTATGATGTTTTTTCTGATTGAGACTGATGGTACGAGTGGATCTGAGGAGAACAATAACGCATTGGACAAATCTTCCATGGTTACTGACAAGTTGACGCTCATTTTCTGGAAGATAAAAGCAATTGTTTTGACCCTTTGAGTTGCTAAATTTCGATTCTCGACCACTCAGCGATGGTCCAAATTCGGCAGGATTTTCCTACAGCCCAACGAATCCCTCACAAAGGCTCCGTACGGTAAATCGTCATTGATGCGATTAAAGGTCTGCATAAGACTACGAGTAGTATCTACGTTCATTCGCGAGGAAGTGAAAAGAAGTGGCTGGCGAGACGACACAGCGCACGACAAACGCTAAAAAGGAGACTGGCCAGTAGAGGAGGTCTCCGACGATCTACACAACCAGAAGCAAGCTGCCCCGCGCTCTTTACATCGTTTCTCTTCTTCCGTTCAGGAGGCACGAAGCGTGCCCGTGCGCGGGCGCGCGTAATGCCAAGTAAAACGACGAAAGTGTGTGTTTGTAAGTGAGTTGGGCCACACAGACTCTCACCCACACACTGACACATCGTGGCGTCTCTGCCTCGGGGCTCAGGCGCCACTGTTTCCCTTCTCTCTGTCCCTCGTTTCCCTCAGCGACCGCCCATTTCCCGGCGTCGATCCGCACCACTCAACCTTTTACCAACACACAAGTATGTACACCGGCCTGCCCGCATACTACGTTCTGGTACAGTGGCTGCCATTAACGTAAGTGGCACAGGCCATGTGTGCTCTTGATCCTCCTAACCGATCGAATTGGTTCGATGACGATCTATGAAGATCGATGATGATGCACCGCCGAACGACTCGTAAGGACCGTTCGACGAATCTTTGTGGATTGCGCCGTGGATCGGCTCAAAGCACCAGTGGGGTTCACTTATGGGCACCAAATGTTGTTTAGGTCGCATGGTACTATCCATAGACCAGACACCAGTGTTTGGTAGCTCGTGTATACTGGTCCCATGAATTTTCTATGGTTTTGATGATTCTTTTTTTTTCTTCGATAGATTCAAGGGTAGATATGGATTGCCCAATTCGCAGGTTTATGAAGTAGTGATGTCTATGGAGTGTCGGACGATCTGACGAATCCAAACCGAATGCATTTTCATCATCTATTCGTCGATCCACAGATGAAACACTGAAGGGAATTTCACTGTATTTCACAGCTATAAATCTTAACGGTTCGTCAAAATGGTCACCCCTATTTTCCCTACGGTGCTGAGAACATTCTTGAATATATGTAGAGCACTGTTTCTATGTATCCTTCCTAAAGCTACTCCAATCACTTCCATCGATTCGTTTCACCTGATTTTCATTCATGTCTCGTTTCTCGTAATCAAGACTACTTATTTTTCTTATAATTCTTCAGGACTGTCCGACCACTGAATAAATTATTATCCAGATGGAATTACCTCCGAAAGAAAAAAAAAGGAATCGACTCGATATCGTTGAAATAATTAGCGGTTCTGCCTCGAAACTAGCGTCAGCTAGATCGCCGATTAACGGCAGTTGTTGAACGTGCGTATTGTACGGCGTTCACGGTGCGTGGTTCACCGACAAGGGGCGCACACACTATCGCAGCCGGAGGCGGGACTCGTTTAAAAACTATCCAGCGAGTGTGTTCTCTTCGCCGGGTGCCCCTGGTGCGCGCCAGCCGCAGTGGAGTCGCCGGCTGCACGGTCTGCCGTTTGCTTTTCGAGAGACCGATGTGAGTCAGTCAGTCAAGCGTCGACCATCGAAGGGATCGGTCGTTCCTTTCCACTCCGCTCATAGTCCGTCGATATTACCAAGTTTTTCGGTCGTTTTTCACGTGGCGTGAGATTCGTTATGAATCTTTCAACAACCACCAGAAGAAGGACATACAGATCGTGACCGGTTCGGAAGTTCGATTACAAAAAGAAAAAAAGAAAAAAAAGAAACCGATGATCGATGGGGTTTAATAGCGGTTCTCGTTGATCATCCTGGTCGAAGACATATAAAATACACAGTACAAGAAAGAACGTGAACCAACTCGATAACCGGGACAAGTGTGCGTGTGTGGATTATTATTTTTCGATCGATGAAAATGTTGTCGCGGGACCTGTTGTTGACTTTTGCTACGATGGTGTCGAGTCTGTCTGCGGCCGTCGTTGTCGGTGCTTCCGTGGATCTCGACTCGGGTGACTACGAGGTGCTCGCAGATAACGAGGGAAAATCCGATGACAATGGTAACGTTACATTTTCAGCGCATGATTTCATGGGAAAGTCGGGGTGAGGCGATAGTGCCTCTGGTTGCTCGCGCCGCACGAAACGAGCAGCGTGAACGAGGCCACGTGGGTGGCGGTGGTATACGCGATCGAGACCAATGACGAAAACTGATATATTTGCTTGATCGTCGCCAAGCTGTAGAAATCGTACAAATTCGCAATATAGATATATACTGTCTTATACGTTTTAGTATATCTTGGTTATGTGGTGTTTTCTCCTGAAGCTCCATTGTTTTACTGTTAGACATGACCTTCGTTGTCTGGAAATATTTCTCGTTAAGAAAATCGTCTATTATACGTGGTGCAACATTCTTCCTTCAGGCGTATCGCATTCGTCCGTTATTAATTCGAATTATTCGTAGCGGTATCGGCGCGCAGTAATTAAACTTCGTGGGGCGTTATTTTTAGAGATCGCGGTCTACAAGTTATATCGAAAGCATAGAAAACTTTCATGCATATTTTATATACTTGTACTCTTTATTTAGAAATTACATAGAAAGCATAGAAAACTTTTACGTAGATTTCATATACTAGTACTATGGCTCTCTATTTAGAAATCTTCTGAATGTATAGAAGTAATATCGAAAAGAGAAAACTTTTACGCAGATTTTATGTACTGTGGCTCTCCGTTCGACTTTGACGCCAAGGCGATAAAAGTCGGTAGACGTCTCGCCCTCTAAATTAAGATCACCCAAGTCACCGAACTGGATTAATTGACTTGGCCTTTTCCATCGCGACCCGATTCGCGTGGGGAACCACGGTTCCGCTCCGAAAGACGATCACACGCTTGCAAAAAGAAAAAGAAAAAAAAAACACAAAACATCTCGCGATCGTAATCGTTCAGATTGTATTATATCTCGCGTGGCGAATTTTAGATCGTTTCGCCGGGATTTAATAAAGGAGCGCACGATTCGCTTTCAAGTTTACGTCGGCTGTTCCTCCTACCCTACCGATGCGATCGGGGGTAAGAATCGGTTAACGAGGCGAATGACAGAGAACGATAAAAGTTTCCGGATCTCAGTCCTCGTACGCAGGCCTGCGTCGAGTGTTCCGCGACCGATGAAAAATAAAGAATGCCAGATAAGAAGCAGATGCAGACACACGCGGCCACGTCACACGGCGCAGCCACGGTAATTGCAAAATTGTACGTTCGCCGGAACGAAACGAAAGAGTAGAAAGAAAGAGGGAAGGGAAGAAGAAGAAGAAGAAGAAAAAAAAATAGACAGCGGCGACGTGTTTTAACTCGTCTGCCGGTTTTTGCCGCGAAGAACGCCGGCTGCTGTGGAGCTCTCGGTGCAATTAAGGACGCGTGCAATTTAAACGTTTTATCGATGCACGTGAGTATTCGTCGATTAACCGAGTATAAAACGGCCACGATACATCGGTGCTTCCTTGAGGCATCTGCGACAGACGCGTATCGCTGTTTGATTTTCTTTCGAGAATAAGGGAAAGACGATTTTCGGGGGGTTTTTTGGACGAAGAAAGTCGGGCGCTAGAAATTGAGTCGGTTACGTCGCGACCTCGACGGTGGGAACGATAAAATCATCCACGACAGAAGGGGTGGGGAAATGGAACAGTTTTGCTTACGAATCGTCGGACCCACGGGGTTCCGAATGATTCACGGATCGATCGATAGATTTACGTCCACGATTGGCGCCACCTGGAGCACACGACGTTCCCGCGGGATCTCAGCCACCCGGGACAAACGAAACCGGGCTCGGATAGCCTCCGAATTCCGGTCAAACACGCCGACGCCGACGCCACTCGTGCGCACGGTTGCGAAATAATAAATATTTAAATTTTGCCGTTCGCACGATACCGAGTTTAGAAAGACGATAAAGTATGCGTCGGGCGCCAGCTAGGCGCGCGGATAGCGGAGTACATAATATAATGCCTATGTGCACGATAGGTAGTACCTTCCGACACGCTTGTCTGCTGCCGTTGGTCTTCGGTTCACAAGTATGCCACCGCGAGTTCTTCCGCCCATTGGATCCTAGCTAGTGGTACAGTATCGATACTTTGAATATTGATACTTTTAATTCGAATATCCATATTTTGTAAAGATATTTAATGTGATGATATATTCCAGTATCGATACTCAATCCATAAATAACGAAATTTCGATACAATCAGGTAGGTCGTAAGGAAAATAGACCAATCGTGAAGTTTCCATAAAGTTTGCGATTGGTCGATTTCTTTTCGACGCTGTTACCTGAGAATCTGCCTTGGTAAATACAGTGATTCACAGGTTTGCTCACGAACAGCTGTCACCTATATTTGACGAGATTATTTACCAAAATGCGAATTTCATTTCGAAATTAAAAAAAATTGATTACAGAAGGAAGCTAAACGTTATCATAAGGGAAATATGTAAATATAAATTGCATACAAATTTTGACACCTGATTGTAAATGTGTGAGTCATTGTATCCGCTTGGGTAAATGATTTATTTTCATTACTTTTAATTGAAGTGCCTATTAAAATCAATTCTTGATTCATTCTATCAAATTTCAACAATTCCAATGAAACTTGCGAAAATTAATCTACGAGGGGGAGAGACAATTTTGTTCTATTCGATTCGTTTCGTGGACCTTCTTCCAGAATTCTCTGCTCGCCCACACAGAGTTTACACGGGCAACGCACGAATTCTGTGTAAATGGGGAGACGTCCGCGGTTCAATTCACGGAACCATTTCCACTGGGCGTTATAGTTTCTCGGACGGGAGCTGCGGCACATCACATTCTTCGTTCACAGAGTAAAAAAAAAAAATGCCCACTCCCCCACCTCTTTCTATCGTCGCCACCCGGCTCAATCCTCGACGATCGTCAAGAAGCCGTTAATCCAACGTATCCGACGAATCCGACCGTTTATCAACGAGCACGTCAATCTTACCGTTCGAGGAAAAACAGCCTCGCAGAATTTCCGTCCTATATAGTCGAGATTACAAAGTTTTCCTCCTGCGATTCCCGGTATCGGTTAGTCTCGATCGTGTTTGGTCCAGGTAGTTGTATACTATTTAATAGCCTCTTTTCCTTATTCCTATTAATTTACCTTCTTTTTATTTCATTGTGAAATGTATTTAGTACTATATAACCTTGGTTTATAAAAATAAAATGTCATTGCATGTGTTTAAATTATATTACAAATGGAAAGTCGATATATCGGCTCACTTGCCAGGAATTCTCCGAAGCGGACCCGAGTTCGTCGCACTTATCGAGACATTACTGTATAGTGTCTTCTATTCACCAATGTGTCCGTATTTCACATGTACCATTCCGAGTTCGTTATCCGTCTAACGATGAGACTTTTTATTAAAGCCATTCTTTATGTTGATTCGTAAGATTGTTTCCCGAATCGGCAGACGTCCCAGGTAAACGATTCTCCTCCCTCGATCGAAAAACCCGAGGCTCAAGCGATCGCGACGGGTTTTGCGCAAGCCCCTGGCATTGTATTTTCCAAAGGTTCATTAAAACTATTACGTAATGCCCGCGAGCCGAGGTTCCAGTCTCTTATCTGGGTTCCCGGCGCAAACAAGTTACGGAATTGCGATATTTTCTCGATCGGTACGTGCACGCCGGGCTGCATATTTATAGACCGTCGACGTCGATTTCACGTTATGAGTCATTCGTTTTCGGTTCACGCGACGCGAAGATTGTCAGTTCTCGCACGAAAGCCCGCCGAAATCCTGTCTGAGGCCAACGACGAATAGGAAACAGCCCTTGATTATGGGGTTGGGCTATAGCCCTACAATATGTAATTGAATGAAATGTAGAAACAAATCGGATCAAAGTTGGTAGAATATAACGAAGCATTGTTGGTCATAATCAAGTATTCATTAAGATTAAATGCTATTTAATTTTATTTAGGATAAATTTTAATTTTTGAACTTTTATGTATCTTCAACCAAGGGGCTCTCGAAGGTTCGATACTCCTGAGCCACGAAAAATCTTAATTCGTCCCTGGTAAGAAACGCTTAGTGGACGTTATCACGAGAGTCTCAACAGCGATAAATAATACTTTTAAACGATGAGAAAATGCCCTCGGACGGCTCGTTTCATAGGGGATGAAACGGGACGTCGTTAAAAAAAAAAAAGAATTGGGTCGTCGTAAATGTTCTGGAGCAAAGGTTCCCACCGTAAAATCGAGAGAAACATTATGTATACACACACATACACATATATACAGGCCTCTGTTCTGACACCGCGTCGAAAAATGCGAGCTCATCCGCGCCCCACCGCCGTCGACGCCGACAAACGTAACGCATCCACGCACACGCGAGTGCAGCCGGTGTTTCACGTGAACCGGCACGGTGGCGCCTGTCGACCACACGAATGTGCATGCGTGCGTGACGAGTTTACGCCTCTTTGTCTTGCGCGTACACGCGACGTGTTGCTCTTTGTACATATACACAGACGCCTCCGTGAGTTGCGTTTGCTGGTCCCTCGAGACGCGTGTGGGTGATCTCATTTCGATTTGAGGTAAAGGGCAGGAACGATGAGAATTCACGCCTTTTGTTGGGAGCATCGTCTACCCTTAACCTTCGTACAGTGGACGCAGGGCAGAGTTGGGCAAAATGTAGACTAATTACAAAAACCAAATCACAATTAGCATGTAATTGCAAGACAATTACAATTAAAATTATATTGGAATTAATTATACTAAATTTACAAAAATGATTGCAATCGAATTGCAATTTAGATTTTGTACTTAGATTGCATTTTGCCCAACTTTGATGCAGAGTATCACTTTGAGTGAATGTCTAAAAACTATTAGAATTAAAATTTAATGGCTTCCTATTTCAAAACAATCGGAATTTTGGGGTAGATACTGAAATGATTTTCTAAAAGGGCGTAAAATGTCGGGAAATCATTGCGAGTATAAATGAAACAGTACAGATACTTGATTTCCATAAAAATGAATTCTACTTTCATCAAGAAATATTGGACGACTTGTTGGTAGAA